CATCTCCAAACACATTTTAGAACCAGCTGGTTAATTTCTTCAAAAAACCAAGTTACGATTTTGATTGAGATTGCATTGAATCTGTATGTCAACTTATAGAGGACTGACATCTCATTAATATTGAGCCTTACAGTCAAACATGGACACCCCTCTGCTAGTCTAGGTTTTTAAGTTTCTCACAGCAATGGATTCTAGGTTTTTGGTGCACAAGTCTCAGATACATTTTATCCCCAAGCATTTTGTTTCGGATGCTATTGTAAATGAAATTATTTTAGGTTTCATTTTACAATTGTTTGCTGCCAATACATAGAAATAGAATTGATTTTTATCAGATCCCACGGCCTTGCTAAATTCATTTATAAATTCTAGTCGTTTTTTTGTAAATTCCTCAAGATTGTCTACAAACATGAAATCTACCAAGAAAATCTTGTCATCAATATTTCAATTTTCTTTGAAGTCCCCTGCTCTGTAGCCAAGCCATTCGCCACCGCCTATGACTACATGTAGGGCCATCCTCCGGCCGTCCTTCCTTGGCTGAATGACGAACCTGGCGCGTGGTTTGAATATGTGCCCACTGGGAAGCTTTCTTTCACTGGCCTTTCACAGGAGGCCACGATGACACAACATTTCACTTTCAGCTGGGGGCAGTATGTTGTGTACAGACCCATGTAATCCAGGCCCCAATGTATGTATTTCCTCTGTTCAATGTCATAAGAAACTCTCATGTAGCTAGAGGTCTGGGTTAAGGAAGGGGTCTCAACGCAGCAAGAGTGGGCGCTTGTTTGTGGAACTTACCGCGCCTTCCAGACCTGTTCAAGTCTTGTGTCGTAAACATTCCACCTGATGAAGGCAGGATGCTGTCTACACAACTTCTGTGGGTCCGATAACAAATAGCTTCTGTGGGGCCACTCCGCTGCTATGGTGACAGAGCTCCCTGAGTTTCTGCTGTGGCTCAGGGGCACTCTTATTCCAAAGGAGAAGACGTATTTTCAGGAAAGGGTTCAGCTCTTACTCAACTGCCTACAACATCTCCGTCTGCCACGGACCCTCCAAGCCCCACTGGTTCTGCAGATCAGTGTTTCTCAAAGTGTGGTTCCTGGGCCAGCAGCGTCAGTATCGCCTGAGAACTTTCTAGAAACGCAAGTCCTCAGGTCCCGCCTCAGACCTACTGAACCTGAGACTCTGAGGATGGAGCGAGGTGATCTGTGCCTCCTGTGCATGGAAAGGTTTATGTAGGTGACTCTGATGCCAGCTAAAGTCTGAGAACAACACCAGATTGGCCTGCCTGTACAGCAGCAGAACCTTTCTTACTCTGGGCCCTACTCGAAACCAAACGCTTTATGAATAACACACAAAACGGGCCAGAGAAGCATCCCTGAGTGTCTTGTACCTCGCCTCGAAAATCCGAAGAGCCTCACCAGGTACGACACTTCTTTCTTAGGGGTAGGCTTGCCAGAGGCAGCATGCTTTCTTTCATTTTGGATATATATTTTGACCAATCAGACCAATGGACCCACAGAAACTTCACCAAGGTGGCAGGCTTTGAAAATGTGCTATTTTTTTCTTTCAATTTTTAGCAAGCATGTGTCTTACCAAAGCATCTTGGCATTTTTCATTTTTTTGCTCCCCAGCCTGATGTCATCAGTGTGGCAGACCACTGTGACACACTGTGCAGTAGCAAGACCATCATGATGTCTGTGATTAAAACCAGCAGTGAGCTGGAAAATGATACGGCTCTGAGAGAAGACATTGGAAGTGTACTGCTGTCCCTGCTGTGTGAGAGGACACTGTCTTCCTCCTGAGGTGGCCCCCGGGAGGGCACAGGGGTGCAGCAGTGAGCAGGGCCTCCTGCCTGGGCCAGAGCCTTCCATCATTCTCAGAACCTGGACATACAAGGTCTGGGATCTGACCTCCCTCACCCCTGGACAAAAGCCACTCCTGCCTACTGGCCCCTCACCCTTGCCCTCCCCGAGCCCCCCGCCCCCAGGGCCTTCCCAGCACCAGTGAGAGGTCAGGGTCTTTCAAGTCTGAGCTGGGCTCCCTGGAACTTCCTCTGAAAGCACACAGGACACCCTCGATGGAGTAAACACGTGGGCAGGTAAATGACTGTCACCTCACTGCCATTTGTCTGAGAGCGCACTGGCCCACTGTCCTTGTCCCCTCTCAGAGCACTCATGGGGGGAGCACCAATGCTGTCTTCCAAATCAGGGGGGACACGGGGCAACGTCCAGCACTGAGGGCCTCCCAGGAGGCAGCACCCAAGAAGGGGGAGACCCGTGGGGCAAGGCTGCTTTGGAGACATCAGTCAGCAGCCGGGGGCTCCCTGTGGTCTCTGCAGCTGTGGTCTCAGCCAGTGGGGAGAGGCACAGAGCATGGGCAGGAAGTGCAGAGGCAGAGGGGCTCCACCTGCCTGCACCCAACGCCCTGAGCCCACAGCAGCCACAGCAGCGACCGCAATGATAATAAAGCCGATTTGGCGTTTAGGGCAAAGTTCCAAGCATGCAAAGGTCGGCCGTTTGATCAGGTCTGATCAGCTCATAATCACACTGCTTCCACCAGTGCAGTTCAAAGAGCATTCCTGTTGGGGGAGGATGGAGACCCATGGGTCTGGCAGCTGCGCTTTGTCTGTGTCATCCACGAGCCCAACTCCCACAGTTGGTTTGTTCTTAGAACACCCAAAGCTCCTTTATCCTAATTCATGTGGTTGGAGGTCGGGGTTGAGGCAGGGGTGAAGGAATGCTTTTTGTCTTGACAGAGTGCAGGTTGCATGCGTGTGATCACTCAGTGGTCCCTCCTGAGCGTGGCAGGTGCATTCTCTGTGTGCTACAGGTGAGTAAGGATGTGGCCGCCTGGGTCTGTGTGACCTCTGGTCCCTGCTCCTTCCTGCCCTGTATGCTGTTAGCTTTGGGTCACAATTCTGCACTCCTGCAGTGCTTGCAATCCCTTCCGAAATGTTGTTTCTCTGTGTATTGTTTTGTTTTGAGACAGGGTCTCATCCTGTGGCCCACGATGCAATCCTGGCTCACTACAACCTCCACCTCCCAGGTTCAAGCAATTCTCCCACCTCTGCCTCCCGAGTAGCTGGGACTACAGGTGTGGGCCACCATGCCTGGCTAATATTTTTTTCAAAGTCAGGGTTTTGCCATGTGGCCCAGTCTGGTCTCAAACTCCTGGCCTCAAGAGATCCTCCTTTCTCGGCCTCCCACAGTGCTGGGATTACAAGCATGAGCCCTCATGCCCGGCCTGTGTATTTTTAATATATCTGAACATCCATTCTCTCTGTGTGTTTTATTTAATGGCCTCCCTTAGTCACCTGCAAAGGCTTTTCCTTGGGAGACTGTTTCCTCAACCCTGCTGCTCCGGGGCCAAGCCCCTGCTCCCTCCTTTTTATTGAAACTTGTGCCATGGAGCTTATAGGGTAGAGAGATTCCTTCTGTGGGGGCCACCGCCACACTACAGCTTCGAGGTGGCACATCCCCCTCTCCTGAAGTCCCCTCACCTCCCTGGTGATGAAGTCCCACCCCTGATGGGAGGTGGTGTCAGGAGGCCTTCAGGTGGTCAGGCCAGGAGGGCTCCACCCTGAGGAATGGGGCCAGTGCCCACATAAAACAGACTCCAGAGAGCTCTCCACAGTCCCCACTATGGGGAGATATAGGGAGAGAACTGTCTGCAACCCAGAAGCGGCCCTGTCGGCCAGGACTTGGCCTTGGCCTTGGCCTGGGGACACCAGAACTGTTAAAACTAAAGGCTTCTGTGTGAGCCCCCAGGCTGTGGAGTGTTTGTCATAGCAGCCCCAGGGGATCACCAGGTTCCCACTTGATTCCAACTCAGCATGGAGGCACAACCCTGAGTGCCTTCTGCCTGAGTGCCAGCCCCGGGGTGAGGGGTGCGGGGAGTGCGGGGCACTGCGCTGCCGGCGGGTACTGCGGGGTCAGGCACCAAGGGGCCCTGCCTCCCTCACGGCTGAGCGCGGGCTGCAGGCTGGAATGGCTGGAGAGCCCCAGGGCTCGCCTGGACGCCCAGGGCAGGGTGCTCACGGGAGCACGGAGGGTACACGGGGAGGAACGCCGGGGTTTGGGTGACCCTAGGGGCGACACGCAGAGCTGGATGCGGCCACTCACCTCCGTGCCTTCTAAGGAACTGGACATCCTGGGCCTTGGCGGCCCGGGGGCTTCATTCCTCTGCGAGCTGAATGGAAGAAATCCCGCCCGGACATCTCGGAGGGAAAGCCTCGGAGTCCATTCGGCCCTGGAGCCAGATACCAATCGCCAGTGCTTTCAGGCCAGTCCTGGGAAATGGTTTTCTCATGCGACCGCGAGGCGAGCCCCTCGGTTCCGATGTAGGCGCACTAGATGCCGGCAAGGGGAGGACTAGGCTCGGCCGGTCGCCTCGAGGTCGTGGAGACCCCAAAGCCACGGAAGGACCCGCGTCTCCGCAGCCCGCACGCCGGGAAGCGTGGGGAGTCCTCAGCGGGGTCCCGAGCCCGCTGGTCAGGGCGTGGAGCGGCGGGTTGGGAGGGACGTGGTCCCTGGAGCGCGGGGCCACCGCAGGGGCCCCGGACGGCGAGGGAGGGAAGGGTCGGTCCCACGGGGTCCCAGCAGTTCCCCTCGCGCCGCCGCTCGGCTCCCTCCCCGTCCAGCTAGGAGCCTCCAGCCCTGGGCGTCCGAAGATATCGGGTGCCCAGGGCAGCCCCGAGGGGTGCGAGCGAGGGCGCAGGGCGGCCCAGACAGTTCTCGCGAGGAAGGCGCCCGTCTAGATCCGCGACGCCTAGGACCCACAGGTCCCCGCATCCCGTGTCCGAGGCTCCGGGACGCGCAGGACAGCGGAGCGGTGGCCGCCGCTTGCTCCAAGCTATCTGCGTCCAGGGGGCGGGGGCGGGGGCGCGGCCCGGGGAGGTGAGGAGGCGGAGCCAGGACGCCCGGGCGACCCCGACGGCGGGAGGGCGGAGCGGGGCGGACCCTGGCGACTGGATAAGAGCCCGAGGCCGAGGCCGAGACCGCCCAGCGCGGCGGAGCAGGAGGGGAGGCTTCGTGAACCGCGCTCGGCACCAGGACTCGCGTGCAAAGCCCAGGCCCGGGCGGCCAGGTGAGGCCAGGGTCGCTCCCGGCATCGGGGCGCGCCGCTCCCTCCACAGACCCCGAAGTGGGGCGCAGGGGCAGGGCACGGGGGCCGGGCACACTCTGGGGCCCCCGCGTCCCGCAGACCGCGCCGTCTCCAAAGTCGCCAACAGTCGCAGGTGCCGAGCGCCCCCTGATAGCGCCGCAAGGGACCCTGAGGCCGTCCGAGGCGCGAGGAGGGTGCAGGGCTGCCCCCTGGCCCGCCCCAGGCTCAGGATCGCGTGGGCACCTGGTACCGTCACCAGCTTAGGGGACGCATGGGTATCTATGGCTGTGACTCGGGGGTCCTGGTTTCTTCTCGTGGAACTTAACCCTACTAGGGGTGCGGCGCACCCCAGATCCTATCGAAGTGGGTTTTCTACACCGCCGCTCCGTCTCGCGGGGGCTTTGATTTGGGGGTAGTGGCGGGCGCCGGCTGCGCGCTGGCTGGTGCTCTGGGCAGGGCGGGGAGGCAGGGCGAGGGCTCACCAGGCAGGGCCGCTTCTTGTTCTGGGCGCGGCGAGGAAGGGCGCTTTCTAATGGGCCACGTTTGGCTGTGTAGACCCAAAACTCGCCTCTGAGGCCCCGCGTTCAGGAGCGGGGTCAGATGGCCCCAGGGCGGCGGCGGCTTCCCGGCGGCGGCTTCCCGGAGACTCTCGAGCTCCGCACCTGGCGCCCTCTCCCAACGCGGCCTCCTGCTCGCGCCGCGGAACCCCTTCGGCGGGCGTTTTACCCATAGGACGGGTCGTGAGGGTTGGGGTTGTCACCGGGAGGTACAGAAGCCGCCCAGCAACGGTGCGTGGCGTAGCTCGTGATAGCTCGTGGGTGAGGTTTTGTGCAAACTTGGATGCAGGGAAAGTTGCCTGTTAGAGCCTCTACCTGTGACCTGCTTCAGTCATTGTGTGTGCGCGCCTGTGTGTGTGTGTGTGTGTTTGTGAGTCTGTGTGTATCTGTGTGTCTGTGTGCGCGCGCGCGCGACTGAAACATGCTGCTGTTGGATCCAAATGCCAGAAGTCGCCCTGGTTGGGGAGGTGTAGACGCTCCTGCTCTCCTGCGCTGCGTTGCAGGGGGTTTATGGGGTTTTGGACAGGATTTCCTGGGTTGCCCTGCTGGCCCAGGAGGTGGTTCCCGCGATGAAGCCCTGTCCATCCTCTGCCCAGCTCTCTCAGGTGGGGTGGTGCCACCTGCCCTAGGTGGATGTGGCTTGTACACTCTTTGAGGAAACGATTGTGATGGTTATGTCTAAACTCTCCTTTACAGTGGCTGATTTTGCTTATATAAATTTTGCTCTTTATTACTGAGTATAAACAATACACGGCCAGGCTTGGTGGCTCATGCCTGTCATCTCAGCACTTTGGGAGCCTGAGGCAGGAGGATCGCTTGAGACCAGGAGTTCAAAACCAGCCTTGGCAACAATAGTCAGACCCTGACTCTACAAAAAAAAAAACAAAAAACAAACAAACAAAACACACACACACACACACACACACACACATAACTTAGCCAGTGCTGTGGTGCGCACCTGTAGTCCCAGCTACTCAAGAGGCTGGAGTGCAAGGAGCACTTGAACCCAGGAGTTTGAGGTTGCAGTGAGTTGTAAGCACACAACTGTATTCCATCCTGGGCGACAGAGCGAGACCTCATCTTAAAAAAAAAGAAAGAAAAAGAAAAAAGAATACAGATGAACAGGCACAAAGACATTATTGAATGCTCTTTGAAGATTGCAAAATTGCTCTCTGGCAGTGTGGGGGAAGGTGGAGGTAATATCCATGCACTGTTATTAGAAAGCCAAGCTAGAGCTCACATAGCATTCCACATTGATAAGAGTGAGGAGGGGTGCAGGGGAAGGAGGGACACACCAGAATGTCTGTCTTGATGCCTCCATGGGCCAGTGCCCCAGCCCTGTGGTGAGGGCTGGCACTTCCCAGCTCCTGCACCCCAGCTGTGCCATCTCAGGCCCTGGGAATGCACCCATCCCTTCCCAGAGGAATGCCCATGAATGCCTCGGGGCTCTGCCCTTCATACCAGGCGCGTCCCTAGCCCTGGCTGCTGAATTGTTGCATTCCTGTTGTGTGTTTATTTTTCATATTGGCTGAAGACCAAGAGGAAAGAAGCACAGAATTCCTCAATTCCCGGTGTGCCCATGAGTAAGAGCAAATGCTCTGTGGGACTAATGTCTTCCGTGGTGGCCCCGGCTAAGGAACCCAACGCCATGGGCCCAAAGGAGGTGGAGCTCATCCTTGTCAAGGAGCAGAACGGAGTGCAGCTCACCAGCTCCACCCTCACCAACCCACGGCAGAGCCCCGTGGAGGCCCAGGATCGGGAGACCTGGGGCAAGAAGATCGACTTTCTCCTGTCCGTCATTGGCTTTGCTGTGGACCTGGCCAACGTCTGGCGGTTCCCCTACCTGTGCTACAAAAACGGCGGGGGTAAGTCCCATGTCAGCCTTTCTGAGCACAATGGCCAGGCGGGGGTCATGGGGGCAGCTGGGGCTAGGCCTTTTAGGAAAGGCGTGCACCCGAACAAGATAAAGCTGTTCCCATGCATGAGGATGGAGCTCCCTGTGAGAGCTCACGGCCAGTGCAGATCTTCCCAGAGGACGTCACAAAACCACAGAGCAGGGCTCAGAGCTGCCTGGTCCCATGCCTGCACTTCAGAGTTCAGGAAAGGGGGGCCAGCGAAGAAGCTGGGGGGTGGGAGTGGGGGATGGAGCAGCTTGGCTCTGCCTCCTGTTTCCAGAGGCTGTTTTCATTTTGGAAAGAAAGTTCTCAAAGGCCCAAAGAACAGCCTCTGACTGACTTTGGCAGCCTTTGCAAAGCATGTGGAGGTCCTAGAGCCTGGAATGGCAGAGGAGGCCCCTGGAAAGTGCCTGTGTCCCCTGCACCCTCCAGAACCCAGCCACAGAGCCAGAAAACAAAGTTTGAGGCAGAGCCACCAGGGACATCCAAGAACATTGGTGATGCCTTCCCAGGAGCCTCTTTTGGCCTCCCAGCCTCCCTGCCTGGCCTCCCTCATCGGCCTCTATGCTAGTCTGGGAAGGGAGGCCTGGGGAAGAATTTCGGGGGAAGCCTCACAGGATGCCTGTGAGGAGGTTGGCATTTTTATGCCTATCTTGAAGAGGGGAAGACAGAGGCCTCAGCAGGTACAGGAAGTTGCCCAAAGACAGAGCTGCGGGGCCCCATGCCTCCCCCTCCCCTTCCCCAGGAGAGAGAGTGGCAAAGCTCTCCCCCACTCCAGTCAGACCAGGGGAGCAGAGGGGATTCAGGAGGTTGAGACCAGGGGCCCTGGGCTTTGTGCCAGGGGCGGGGGAGGTGCAGGTTTCAGAGGAACTAGGCCCTACCCTGGAGGGGCTCCCAGCACCTGGGGCAGCAAAGACCCCCAGCTGCTGTCGATAGGGGCAGTCCCCTGAGAGCCCGGAAGCTGGGGGCCACTGTCGATGGGGGCAGTCCCTGAAGCCCGGAAGCTGGGGACAGGACGGCAGGGCCCACTCAGCTCAGGTGCAGAGTTGGAGGGTCACAGATTCACAACTCAAGAGGCAAAGAGGATCAGGGCAAAGTGGGGGGATGCAGGCCAGGGAAGGGCACCCCGAACCACCACAGGGAAGGACAGTACCTAGAGCACCGCCGAGCATGGGCAGGGCCTCCCTGTGCTGTTCTTGGGTTTGACTTCACGGCTCAGGGTGTGCAATGACAAGGGGATCCAGGAGGGACGTGTCGGGCACTCACAGCCGTGGAGGGCGGGCTTCGGGACTCATCTACCCCAGCCTGGGACTTCCCGTTGGAGAGTGGGGTGAAGGGGTCAGGCCAAGACATAGGCGGTCGACTGGGGTAGCAGCCCAAGCTCCCATGAGGAGAGATGGGTCCTTCCACGGCCCCAAACTCGAGGTGCTGTTCTGCCCCATAGGTGCCTTCCTGGTCCCCTACCTGCTCTTCATGGTCATTGCTGGGATGCCACTTTTCTACATGGAGCTGGCCCTCGGCCAGTTCAACAGGGAAGGGGCCGCTGGCGTCTGGAAGATCTGCCCTGTACTGAAAGGTAATGTGCGGGTGCCTCCCTTCACCCTGGCGTAGCGCAGACCATGTTGGTGATGCTGGAGCTTTCAAAGCAAGCCAGCTGCATCATGGGCATCCAGACCCGCTTTGCTAAGACACAGGCACGGCACACGCCACTTGAACTTGGGTCCTACCTTAAAGATCTGTGATGACAAGGACTTGATAGTTAATTCCCTTGCTCTAGGTGAGGGTCTTGCAGTTCATTTGTGTTATTACTTTGTCAAGATGTTAAAATGTAGTTAAGATAAAACACATGTCTATCTGTGGATCTGCCATCTATCCATCATCCATTCATCCACCCATCAATCATCTGTTATCTATCTATCCATTATTTATCTATATCTATCTTTATTATTGATCTTTGTATCAATCATTCACCCATCTATCTACCTATCTACCTAATCCATCCATCTATCATCATCTATCTGTATCTATTTCCTGTGGCTGTTGTAACAAATGACACAAACTGGGAGGCTTAAAAGGCACACGTTTATTGTCTCACAGCTCTGGAGGCTGGAAGTCCAAGATCAAGGTGTCAGCAGGGTTGATTTCTTCTGAGGCTGTGAGGAAGCATCTGTTCTAGCCTCTCTCCTTGGCTCAGAGCCTGTCTTCTCCCTGTGCCTCTTCATACTGCTTGTTTCTATGCATGTCTCTGTAACCAAATTCCCCCTTTCTATGAGGTCACAAGTCCTGTTGGATTAAGGACACCCTAATGACCTCACTTTAACTTGATCACCTTTCTAAAGACCTTGTCTCTAAATAAAGTCACATTCTGAGGTTTGGGGGGTTAGAACTTCAACAGATGAACTTGGGGGAGGGACACAACCCACAACTGTGTTTATCTATTATCTATCAATCATCTATTCACCTGTCTATCATCTACCCATCCATCCATCTATTATCTGTTGATCCATCCACTTATCAATCCATTCATCCATCCATCCATCCATTATCTATTGATCCATCCATCTACCTATCGATCCATCTATCCATTCATCCATCCGTTCATTCATCCATTCATCTATCTATGGATCCATCCATCCATCCATCTTCTATCTATTGATCTATCCATTCATCCATCTGTTATCCATTGTTCCATCCATCCATCCATCCATTCATCTATGTATGGATCCATCCATCCATCCACCTATAGACCTATCCACCTATCTATTAGCTATTGATCCATCTAGCTGTCACTGAACCTTTCTGGCTGCTGGTGTCCTGCTCTGGCACCATGAAGTAGACGCACCTCGTGTTGAGTGCAGGTGGTCTGCCCAGCACCAGGGCCTCTCCTGGCATTTCTGACTCCATCCTCATGCGACCCTGGGAGGGGCACACACCATGTCTCTGTGTTGGAGATGCAGATGCTGAGGACCAGAGGGCTGGGGTCGTTCCCCCTGGTGTCACCATCAGAGCAGAGTGGGATTTGATCCCAGATGTTTCTGACTCCCCAGTCCATGCACACAGGTCACGCTTGCCCAGTGGGCCAGAGCCACCTCTCAGAAGCTGGTGGTTCAGGGAGGATTCAGGCGTTTACTCAGAGGCACCACTCAGACAATTGGCATTAAGAAAATGACTACTAGAAGGTCAGCCTCTGGATACTCGTAGAAGTTCCGGAAAAGCTGTGTGTTTAGAAGACAACCGAGCCCAGCACAGCCCCAGGACGCTTTACCAGTGGGTCAGGGCTGGGCCTTCGGAGGGGAGCCACTGACCTCCCTCAGGAGAGGGAGCTGCCGAGGTCAGGCTCCAGGAGGAGAAGTCACTCTCGCAGCCGTGGAAATGCTGAGACTGGACACAGGTGTGATGGTTCTTCCCAGACACGAGACTCTTTCATTCTTAATGGGCTACTTAGTGAATCTTACGACTTCAGTCATTTCTTCCTAGGCTCCATATTCACTGAACTGCACTGAAATGGAGCTACAAAAAGGGGCCCCCTCCCCACCCCCACCCCACACACATCTTCAGAGTGAGAGACAGATGCCTTGGGCACGCACCGGTGCCAGACGACCCCTTGGCGGGATCTGCAGGTCCAAGTCAAACCGAACAAGGATTGCTCAGAACATGCCTCCGTCCCCATCGTCAGGTCCCCAGTGGAGGAATGCAGCAGCTAAGGGAAGACCCAGGCGTGTCCTTACAGACAGACAGGTGTCAAATCGGGAGGTGCAGTGAACCCAGGCTAACAGTTCAAGACACACACACGTTACCTGTGTCCTTCCCGGCCCTGGCCAGCGGCATGGACATGTTTCGGGGAGGAGATGCTGCCTCTGAGCCTGCAGTTGTAAGCGACGCTGAGCTTGCAGCGTGGTCTGTGTTGGAGAGCATCTGAGTGCTCAGAGCCTTGGGATGCTGAGTCAGAGATGGTGCCGGCCCATTGGGGTGGGGAAACTGAGGAAAGATGACATCGTGCTCTGGCACAGGCTGCAGCGACGTCAAACTGTGCTTTGCTGGATTTTCAAGAGCCATCCTGGAGCCTGTCACAAGTGTCTTACGTGGCACAGCCCCGTGCCCCACTCCCACCAGTGAGCCTGGTGTTGGAGCAAGTTAAATCACCTCTTCACATGCAGGATTCAGGTGAGGAGGGCAGGACCTGTGGGTCTGCGGATAAGAGCTTATTTCCTTCTGTCTGTCACACGGAAAGGATGTTCACCAACAAAGCTGCTGGTGTGGGTCTTCATGATGCAGTCCATAAAACGCCAAGAAGTGATTTCTGAGAATTTCAGAGCACCAACTTGACTTGGGCTAGTAGAGAACCTCTGACTTCCATCAGCATGAGCAGTGGCACCTCGTTCTGAAGAAATGCAGCCGGCGGATGCGGGCATCTCATTGTGTTCCCCGCAATGCGCAGCCGGGGGAAGCTGGGCAGTCGTCTCCTCCGTGTCACAGCCCCTGTGCCCACAATCCCGCATCCCACGCCGGCTTTGTTCTGAACACTAGTCCCAGAGGTGGGCTGCAAAGCGTGGCCACAGGAAGGAAGGCTCGTGGCCCCGTGGGCAGATCTCGGGAAGAGCTTGTACACACCCACCTAGTCCTGGTGAGGAAGGAAAATTGCAAATCACAGAAAGTGAAGTGTTCGACCCACAAAGGGATAGACGAATTGGTGCAAGAAAGCTGGACTTCTTTTTAGAGATGAGACACCTTGAGTTGTTGAATCTCAGTAACGCTGCAGGTCCCAGTGCCAGCGTCCCGTTCGTTCTGCCTGCCCGTCAACTGCAGGATGCCAGTTTAGAGAAGATTGACAGTGCCCATGAAATTAGATGTGCACCATGCTTCCCATGCCCTGATACTGTTCCTTCTCTTTCCTTTGTCCTTTTTTAAAAATCTAGTTAATAAAATGCATGCATTTTCATGTCTCATCGAATAGAAGTGCCACATGGTAAATTAAGACACCAGCTAAAGTGCCCAAAACAATCATTATGGAGCTGAAAGGCCATCCAGCCCTGAGCAGGTGGCAATTCCATGGGAAAACGATGCCCAGCTCTCCAGGGAGCCTGGTTGTCCCTGGCGCTTCCCCTCCAGCAGACCTGCGAGCTGCTTCCTGCTCATAACTCGAAAGCCAGAGGGTGGAGTTCATGGTGAGGCCCAGCTGCTCAGAGGCCGTGACTCACCTGCGTTTCCCATAGTCTCGCCAGGGCAGCTTGGGGTGGGCACCACAGCCAGAGGGGCCTCTGGGGCCTTCAGGGCCCACGGTACACCCCAGGGTCCTGAGAGGTGGGTGTTTAAAACTCTCCCTCTCCTCCCTTCCCCTCGCTCTCTCTTTCCCTCTCCCTGTGTCTGTTTCTGTCTCTCTCCCTCCTTTCCTCTCTGTCTCTCCTCTTCCGTCTTCTTCTCTCTGTCTCTCTGGTACATGCACACACAAGCAGCACATACCAAAGACACCCAGACTGACACAGAGAGGCGTCCTCTCCCGACTTTTTTTTTTTTTTTTTTGGTAAGACAGAGTTTTGCTCTGTTGCCAGGCTAGAGTGCAATGGCGTGATCTTGGCTCACTGTAACCTCCGCGTCCCGGGTTCAAGGGATTCTCCCCTCTCAGCCTCCCGAGTAGCTTGAGCTACAGGTGCGTACCACCACGCCCAGCTAATTTTTTGTACTTTTAGTAGAGACAGCGTTTTATCATGTTAGCCAGGATGGTCTCAATCACCTGACTTCGTGATCTGCCTGCCTTGGCCTCCCAAAGTGCTAAGATTACAGGCGTGAGCCACCGCGCCCGGCCCTCTCCCATCTTTCTTCCGAAGACCTGCTGATGCCTCCTGTGAGGTGCGGCGGGGCTGCCCCAGCAGAGGCTTCCTCCAGCGGGATCCATGCATGCGTTGACAACACCCTCTCCTGAAGCCAGCTCTCCTGGGTGCCCTGGGGCGTACTGGTGTTCAGGGATGGTGCAGGGCGGCCGTGCTCTGGTGGGCGAAGCACCATTTGCAGGCAGGAGCCTCAGCCGGCTTCTGTTTGTCAGGTTTCAGTTTCATTGCCAAGGGCAACCCCGTTTTACAGACGCCCTGGAAACCCCACCATTCAATTGTATTGAATATAAAATGTTTTATAGTCAATCATATTTTAGTGTGATTTCTCAAACCCAAAACAAACTACACACAAGGTTAATATAAAAAAAAGGTACAAAGCAAAAATAAATTTAAGGAAATAGACCTTAAGAGCTATGCTTGAAATTCACGCTTAGCGCTGAGCTTCCTGGGATTCAGACAGGAGGGAAGGGAGGCTTCACGTTCCCATGAACGTTTTCCCTGGAAACGCGAGCAGGGACTTTGCCTGCCACCTCCTTGGAGAGACAGCCTCCCGTGTCACTAAATGGTGTTTAAGAAATGTGTCAGGTGAAGCTTCATCTAGAGCCCACGGTGATGTCATGAGCAGAGGCCACTAGAAGGTTCTGTAGCAAACAGGGTAGTGGGTTTCGCGTGTCTGGGCCTTCGGTGAGCTTGAGGAGCTCATGGTGAAGTTGGCTAGTTGGTGAGGGGCTACACGTCAGTGACCCAGGTCAGGGGCTCTGCCTTCCCAAAGGGCAGGGCTTGGAGCAACCAAATGACTGGCCAGTACTGGCACTGGCCACCACCTTTCAAGGGAGCCATTTCCTCACCCAGGTGCCCAGGGAAGCATCCAGGAGGAGTCCTCTTGGTAAGGGGGACTCTGGTGTGGGGGCTGCACTGTCCCATGGATCAGAGCAGACCCATTTGCTCTGGGAGCCGTGTCAGCCAGCGTGGCCAATGGTGATGTCATGCACAGTGGCCATGGTGACGTCATGATCCCATGGCAGCCCTGCCGATCTGTGGTGCAGGGCAGGAAACAACAGCGGTGGCTCTGGAAGGACCCAGGGCACAGTCAGCCCTTCCTTCAGACTCTGGATTGGGATCCACTCTGGTGTTGTTTGATCAAAGACTTCCCAGGGTTTCAAGCTAAGGACTTGGTACAGAAAGTTTTAACCTTGAAAAATTTTCAAATTAGGCACCCGCTGTCAGTCACCACCATGGAAAACCCTCCACAGTGCTCTCTGGAAACAGTGTGGCTTCCCAAAGCGTGGCTCCCAACGTGGCTGCCTGGGTGAGTTCACTGTAGATCACAACCCAGCCTCTCTCTTAAGGGACTCCGTGACAGATGGTAATATAGAATTATTTAATATGGACCGGAGCCATGTGGGAGAAGGCCTTCCAAAGGCAATCCGTGACCGACTGTAATACAGAATTATTTAATGTGGACCAGATCCACGTGGGAGAAGGCCTTCCAACAGCAACAGCTTGACTTTCATCATCACCACCACTGAGCATGCTTTCCAAGAAGGATTACCTGCACTCCTGATCCTGGATCTGTTTAAAACAAAGTTTTGAGCCTTCTCTTTGCTTTCAGGATAGGAAGAGAACTTTACTGAGGTACCCTGAGCATGAGAACAGCTTCTCCTAAGGATTGAGACCATAAAAAGCAACCCAGGCCACTCCCTGCAAAAGTCACCTTGAAGGTATGCTCCTACCCCTGGCCATGAGCAGGCAAGACAGGGCATGGTGCCTACTGGGTTTTAACAAAGTAAATCAAAGTTGTACCCAAACTAATCATGCCAGCAAACTGAGAAGAAATGTGGAAATGAGAAAAATTCTTCCTGGAGCTTAGTAAAGTGAACCCCAGTAGCGAGAACGTGATGGTGCCCATCCAGCAGTGAACAAGGAGGAAGCCCATCTGCCCACCAGTCAGGCTGATACTGCTCCAAAGACTGCTGACCACTGAGTTCTGTTCCAGTTTCCCAGGAGCCCCCATAAAGTATGGATCCCAAATTCCAGGTGTGTGATCCTGGAAAGGACACTCTAAAAGACCCTGAATGGCATTAGATGGCTATGGATGGCCCTGACTGGTCCTTGATGGTCTTGCATGGCCCTGGGAGGCCTTGGAAGGTCAAACATGGCTCTGAGTAGTCCTTGATAGTCATGCAAGACTCTGGGTAGCCCAAGAAAGCCCTGGATGATCTTACTTGCCCTGGGTGGTCTTATGTGGCCCTGGGTGTTTCTAGGAAACCCTGGATGGTCATGCATGGGTAGTGTGACCTTGGATGGCTCCACATGGCTGTAAATAAGCCCAGATGACTCTTCTGAGTAGTCTTGTGGGAGAGACATGAGCAGCTATAGATGGCTACCGATGGCCATAGATGGCTATGGATGGCTCTGGATGGCCATGGATGGCTGTGGATGGCCATAGGTGGCCATAGATAGTTGTGGGTAAATGCAGATGGCTGTGGATGTCTATGGATGTCTGTAGATGGCTGTGGATGGTTGTGAATGGCAGTGGATTGTTGTGGATGGCCAGGGGTGGATGTGGGTGGTTTTGGATGGCCATGGATGACTGTGGATGGCTACGAATGGATGTGGATGGTTGTGGTTGGCTGTGGATGGTTGTGGATGGTTGTGGATGGATGGATGGTTGTGGATGGCTGTGGATGGATGTGGATGGCCATGGATGGCCATGAATGGTTGTGGATGGCTATGGATGACTGTGGATAGTTGTGGATATCTGTAGATGGCTGTGGATGGTTGTGAATGGCAGTGGATTATCATGGATGGCCAGGGGTGGATGTGGGTGGTTGTGGACGGCCATGGATGACTGTGGATGGCTATGGATGGATGGATGGTTGTGGATGGCTGTGGATGGCTGTGGATGGATGTGGATGGTCATGGATGGCCATGAATGGTTGTGGATGGCTATAGATGACCGTGGATAGTTGTGGATGAATGGAGATGGCTGTGGATGGCCATGGATGGCCGTGGATGGCCCTTTGTGACTCAAAGTGGCCTTGGATTAGCCTGGCTGATTATGTGTGGTCCTGGGTGCCCTCCATAGTCCTGAATGAGCCTGGTGGCTGTGGGTGGCTGCGGATGTCTGTCAAGGACCCCAGGTGTCCCTTAGTGACTATTGGCAGTCTTGATGGTTCTGGGAGACACTGGGTGTTCCTGGGTAACCCTAGACAATCTTTGATGGCCCTATTTGCATGGGTTCCCTAGGTAGCCCTGGGTGCTTCTGGGTGGTTGTGGATGATTCTGATGGTTTCACATGGACCTGACAGCCCTGGTTAACCATGGGTTGGGTTGCCCTGGATCACCCAGAGTAGCCCCTAGATGGCCTCAATGATCCTGGATGACCCTGATGGATCCTGAGTGGTTGTGGTGGGGATGGATGACCATGTGTGGCTGGGGGTGACCTTGGTGTCCCTGGGGGTCTCTGGGTGCATCAGGGTGGCCCTGGATACTCGCCATAGCTCTGGGTGACCTTGCTGGCCCTGGATGTCCCTCAGAGACACCCTCAAAGTCCTCAGGGTCTGTGCTCAGGGTAATGTCTCCTGTGAGGGGAGGTGGAAGGGACGCGTTGCTGATGGTGGCTATGTGCTCTGCCCACGTGGGCTCCACGGCCACCCCCTTCCCGCTAGGTGTGGGCTTCACGGTCATCCTCATCTCGCTGTATGTCGGCTTCTTCTACAACGTTATCATCGCCTGGGCACTGCACTACCTCTTCTCCTCCTTCACCACGGAGCTCCCCTGGATTCACTGCAACAACTCCTGGAACAGCCCCAACTGCTCGGATGCCCACTCTGGCGACTCCGGTGGCAACGGCCCGGGCCTCAACGACACTTTTGGGACCACACCTGCTGCCGAGTACTTCGAGTAAGTGGGAGTCAGGTCCTCGGGAATGGGAGAGATGGTGCAGCTGGGTCCCCATGGTCGCTCCTTGGTTGGCCACCAGCCCTTGCTGACTCCCAGGGTGCGGGGAGGGGGAACCTGTTCCTGCACTCCATCCCTTTAGTGCTGTGGAGGGGCACATTTCTGAATCATTGTGATGGTCTCCAGGGACTCAGCAAAGCTCCTACAGGGCAAGCCCTCAGCAGGGATGGGGCACTGAGCAGCTCCGCTGGCTGTGATATCCTGCCCCCAGCAGCGGCTCGGGGTGGGAGGGGGCTGGTGGGGAACACAGCAGCCCTGTGCGGAAGGTTGGCAAGCTCCGGTCTCTGGGAGCTGCAGCGGCGTCTCTGGAGTGAGTCAGCCCGGTGTCTGGGTTCCCTTCCTCCCTGCCCTTCCTCTGTGCATAGCCTGGGGCCAAACTGCCTCACTTGGGCCCTTGCCCTCTCCAGAAAAGATACCTTTCTTGGCTTCACTGCGCAAGAAGTCTATGGCTTCAGTAGGCAGCCCCTGTCTCCAGGGTGCTCCAGCCATCCACTTTTCGTGAGACTTTGTTTTGTTGTTTATATGCATGGCTTTATTTCTGTCTCTGGGCCTCCTTCCACCTCCCACACTGGTGAGTCCCATGTCCAGCAGCCTCCTGGGTCTCTGCCTCCTTCTCTCTTTGTGCCGGCCAGGCCTGACCTGCACAGTCTTCCCCAGCCAAGCCTGCCCCTCACCGTCCACCCCGGCCAGCCTCAACCCACACAGTCCACCCCATCTAGGCCCATCCCTCACTGTCCACCCCAGCCAGGTCTGCCCCTCACCATCCACCTGCAGCACCTGCTTTCCTGGACCCCGATGTCTGCAATGAAGTCTTTTTGGGCCCCGTGCCAGGTCCTGCTGGCCCTCCTTCATCATCACGTGGCCTGGTCCAGCCTAGAAGGGCTGTGACTGCCCCCCATGGGTCCCCTGTTTCCCCTGGACCCCTCCCGGAATCTGAACCTGGCAGGTGCCATCCACATTCCCCTGCCCCCTCCAGCTGGGCCTGGGGCCTTGTGCTGGGTCACATTCTGACAGGCGGACTCTTAAACTCAGCCGCCATTTCGGAGAGGAGGAGAGGAGGAGAGAACGTTTGTGCCATTCTCACTACATCCACTGTTTCCCGTCAGAAGGAGAGAGAGTCCAGGCCGGGGCGCCAGGAAGGCGTTCGTGGGAGGAGGGCTGGTTTCAGAAGTGGGCAGGCGGGAGAGAAGATGCACCCGGGATGAGTCCCGGTTGGTTTGCCTGAAGACACCTGAGCATCGCCATAGGAAGCACAGCCTCAGGCAAGGCCGTGGGAACGTCTGACAGGACTCTCGTGGTGACAGGCAAGCAGGAAATGATGAAATCGTCCAAATAACGCAGTCACACCATTTGTCCAAGTAGATTTTAACATTCTTGAGGGAGAAAATTCCCATTGCGTGTGGATGGCCTGTTCACACCTACATTTCCCTAATTAAACACCCCACAGACACCCCAAGCCCGGGCTGCATGTGCCCTTGCTGTGTGGCCAGATCTCAGGGTTAGCGTGTGATCAAAGAGAGGGGCCAGCAGGAGAGAGCGGGGGGCGCACAGAGCCAGGGGCGGAGGCCGCAGAGGCGCCACCGAGGTGAGAGCCTGAGAGTTCCCAGTACCCAATGCCCTGTTAAAGCTGCCAAGTACCACCACATGGGGACTGCTTTCCTTTTGTTTGGGCAGTGTGGGAAATGTTGACTCACCTAAGTGATGTTCAGGTAAGAAAATCGGAGAGGAAAATTTAGTGTAATGATTAGTCCAGTGATCCGTTGTTAAGAATGCTAGAAGGAAAGAACATGTGTTATTATTTTAAACGATCAGACTAGTGAAGTCTATTTGGAAGTTCTCAGTCTGGAAGGAAGGAAGGAAACGGAAAGGTGCCCAGTCCTTCACTCAGAAGCCCTGTCCGCACTGGCACGTGGTATACTCTAGCTGGCGGCAGCCCAAGAGCAGACGTGGGGAGTTGGAGAAGGTTTAAGATCAATTCACAATTGATTAATGACCCAGCGCACTGAGGCGCTTGGCGCTCCTCCCACGCCTTCCGAAGGTGATTTTCCCAACAGTGGGACTCAGGTTCCCCTGAAACAGGCCCCAGTGACTCTTAGGAAGCAAGGGGGACAGTCGTAACATGCTCAGGTCTGCTGGGGGTTTTCTGGATTTCGAACCCACTTTATAAAGCAGATAACTGGACAAAGGATGTCAGGTTCCTGCTGGCGCATGTAGTCAGGGAGTGCATGTTCCACCATGAAAGGCCACAAAGGCCAGAGTGGTTGTGATGCATGGTGGTGCGGCTCTTTGTCCTAGATAATGGGTATGCCTGACTTTGTCGGTAACCACAAAAGGGACTGAGTTTCCTATACAATGTACCAAACATGCCGTGTCATAAATTTGACAACTAAGATGTTAGCAGGAGTAGATCTGAAAGGGCTTTATCGTGCGTTTTTACTACAGGTCCTCAGGAAGTAACCGTGAGGCCTGGGTGAGATGCTGGCCATGTCTTCTGGGCCCTAAGTCAGAAAAGGCTGCTGAGCTACCCCATTGACAGCACTTCCTCCACATGCCACGAATGCCATGTGCGGTGCTGGCTCCTGCACCCAGTGTTCCTCAGGGTTGGCAAATGAAATGTATCCTTGGGAGTTGCTGGCCCCCTGGCCCCCAGGGGTCCCAGCCAGCCTTCCTGCATTGCCACTTCCTTCTTGGGCAGCAGCCCACCCACCAGAGGGAGGTGGCAGAAATGGTTCCTGCAGAGAAATGAAAGGAACCCTTCCCTGTAGGAACCTGGAGATTACTGATTAGCTGCATCCCACAAATTTGATATGCTGTGTTTTCATTTCAAAACCCCAACACAGGACCACATAACTCTGACCAGTTTACAGTTTCCCTACTTCTATAAATACTTATCAACGCTGCCTAATATAAATTATAAAGTTATAAATTAAAGCTATTAATTTGTCTCAAAGGGACTGCATTAGCTGCATCCTACAAAGTTTGATATGCTGTGTTTTCATTTCATTCAGTTCAAAGTATTCCCTAATCCTTCTTTTGATTTCTATTTGACTAATGGGGCATTTTTAGAAGTTTGTTTTTTAATTTGAAATGTATGGAGGTTTGCTAGATATTTTTGTTATTGATTTCTAATTTAATTCTGTTTTGGCAAGATGATGTGCTTATACATCTTTAATATTTTAAAATATATTGAGACTTGTTTATGACCTACCAGATGGTTTACATTGGTGAATGTTCCACGTGCGCCTAGAAGAATATGTATTATGCTGTCTGGTTGGAGAGTTGCATAAATGTCAGAGAGGTCATGTTAGGTCATTGTATTGTTCAGGTTTTCTACATCCTTACTGGTTTTCTGTCTACTTACTCTATCAGTTACTGAGAAAGGGGTACTGAAATCTCAACTATAATTGTAGATTTGTCTATTTTTTTCACTTCTATCAGTATTTGCTTCATTCATGTATTTTGAAACTCTGCTATGAAGTGCATACATGTTTATTATTATTAGTCTTTGAATTGACCACTTTACCATTTGAACTACCCTTGCAGGTTAGATTTCTCATTCTGAAGTCTACTTTGTCTGACAGTAATATGGCCACCCCAACTTTCTTATGATTGCTGTTTGTCTGGTATTATCTTTTCCAGCCTTTTATTTTTAAACTATATGGGCATTATATATAAAATGGATTTATTGTAGACACCATCGAGTTGGTTGTGCTTTTTATCCAATATGGCAATCTCTGTTTTTAAATTAGAATTTCCATTCAATAATTGTCAGCATGGCTGGCTTTAAGTCTTTCATTGTGCTAATTTTTTGCCCCATCTCTTCTTTGTTTCTTGTTTCCTCTGTTTATTCCCTGTTTTGAATTAATTTTTTAGGCTTTCATTTTATCAACATTATTAGCTAATAAACTATAGCTTTCTGTTTTCCTTTTTTCGTGGATTTTATAGGATTTACAACATTGACGTTTAACTTATCACAGTCTGTCTTCAAGTGACGTGATACTGTTTCACAGAACAGAAGGGCCTACAACAGTAGACTTCTGTTTCCCTCACGTCCTTTGTGCAATTGTCGCCACAGATTTTATTTCTACAGTATGTTATCAACTCCATGACACCTTGCTGCTACTTCTGCTTTAAGCATTTACATTTTAAACAAATCTGACACAGAAAAGAAGTTTTTTTTAATGTATTTTTATATTTACCTGCATAGTCACAATCTTTAGTGCTGTCCGATCCTGTATGTAGATCAGGGTTTCCATTTAAGACCATCTTCCTTCCATCTAAAGCATTTCCTTTAACATTTCTTGTAGTGTAGACTTGCTGGCCATGATTCAGCTTGGACGTTACACAAAAATATTTTGCCTTCTTGAGGGGTTATTGTGATAAACTATACATAGCATTGCTTACCATCTTAGCCATTTTTAAGTGCACAGTTCAGTGGCATTAGGTACATTCACATGTTGTGCAACCATGACCATCATCCATTGGAACTTTCCCCTTCTCCAAAGCTGAAATTTTGTCCCCATTAAACACTAAGTCCCTATCCTCCCTCACCCAGCCCCTGGCAGCTACCATTCTACTTTCCATCTCTGTGAATTTGTCTACTCTAGGTCCCTCCTCTGAGTAGAATCACTTATTTTTTTGTGACTGGCTTATTTTACTTAGCATATGTCTTCAAGGTTTATTGAAGAATTTCAGAACAAGAATTTCATTCCTTTTTAAGGCCAAATAATATTCCAATTCCATCGTATGGATATATAATGTTTTGTTTATCCATTTATCTTTTTCCTTTTTAGAGACAGGATCTCACTCTGTTGTCCAGGCTGGAGTGTGCAGTGGTATGATCACTGCTCACTGCAGCCTTGACCTTCTGGGCTCAAGCAATCCTCCTGCCTCAGATTCCCATGTAGCTGGGACTACAGGTATGTGACACCACATCCAGCTAATTTTTTAAAATTTTGTATAAAGTGGAGTCTTGCCATGTTGCCCAGGCCTGTCTTAAACTCCTGGGCTCAAGTAATCCTCCCGCCTCAGCCTCCCAGAGCACTGCGATTACAAATGTGAACACCACACCTGGCCAGATCTATTTGTCTCTTGATGGACATTTGGGTTGTTTCCACCTTTTGGCTACTGTGAAAACATGCTGCTGTGAACTTCAGTATTGAGTACCTGCTTTCACTGCTTTTGAGTGGATACCCAGAAGTTGAATTGCTGGAGCCATGTGATGATTCTGTGTTTAATTTTTTGAGGAACCACCACACTGTTTCCCACTGTGGATGCAAATCAGAACAAGGGTTCCAATTTCCCCACATCCTTGACAACACTTAGAACTTCCTGCTTGTTTATTTTGATAATAGCCATCCTAATGGGTGTGAAGTGGCCTCTCACTGTGTTTTTGATTTCTATTTCCATAATGATTAGAGACTATTGGGCATCTCTTCATGTGTTTATTGGCCATTTGTATACCTTCTTTGGAGCAATATCTATTCAAGTCCTTTGCCTATTTTTGAATTGGGCTGTCAGTTTTTTTTGTTGTTGAGTTTTTGGAGTTCTTTACATATTTTAGATATTATTCTCTTATCAGATTAATAGATGATTTGCAAATACTTTCTCTCATTCTGTAGTTTTCCTTTTCACTCTGTTGATAGCACCCTTCAATGCACAAAAGTTTTAAATTTTGATGAAGTCCAATTCATCTTTTGTGTCATATCTAAGAAACCATTGCCAAGTCCAAGATTATGAAAATTTACCCTATGTTCTCTTCCAAGAGTTTTATGGTTTTAGCCCTTATATTTGGCTCTTTGATCCATTTTGGTTTAATTTTTGTATATCATGTGAAGTGGCTGTTGACTGATTTTCCTCTGGTTGTAGATCACATTTCTTGCTTCTTGTCATGTCTAGTAATTTATTAGATGCTAGACTTGGTGAGTTTTATACTAATGGGTACTTGGTGGTGGTTGTGCTTGTTTAGAGAGTGTTAGATTTGTTCTAATGGGAAGTTAATGTGCTTTGGCACAATTTTATCCTTTGGAAGCTTGTTTCACCCCCTCACTGCCTTGGCTCCCTCTTGGTAAAACGGGGTGAGAGGGCTGCTGTGAGGTCATCACAATGATGCGTGGGAGGCCCGAGCATGCCTGGATCACCACCAGTGGCTCCACTGTCACCCAATTGAAGAATCATGGCCACGAATTCACCAGGAAAAAGAGCCCAGCAGAAATTGGGAGGTGCTGTGCCTTTTCCACTCCCAGTGAACATCCTTGGGCCAACGCTTTTCTGGTCCTCCCAACTATTTATGGCTTATGAAACGCCTGCACGTGAGCCCCATGCCCCTTCCCGGACGTCCTTTGATTGTCTCGCCCACCCTGCCCTCAGAAGCATGGACATGCTGGGAGCCACACAGCTTTCCCCGGCTCCTGGCATGGCTGGTTCCCATGCTGTGGTCAGCTGTGGGGACCCCTCTTCTCAGGTTGACAGCACTCAGGAGTGTCCAGTTCTCTAAATTGTCTGTGGGATTTCAAATAACCTCAAAGCACAGTGACTTTCTAATCTCGAGAAGGGGCTCGACCCAGTGTGTTGAGGTGCTGCTTCTGAAGTTGCTTTCATGTTTGATGCTGAGCCAGCTGTGCGTGCTGTGGACGCAACCTTGTGAGAAGGCCCCGAGAGTGGCAGCGCACTTTCCCTGGGCCTCCGCCTCAGGTTCAGGAGGGCCTGTGCCACATAGGGGCATTGGCTGAGTTTGCCTTTTCTCCAGGCACATGGGAAAGGGGAGAGGGTGTGCTGTTTGGTCTGAGTGTGTAATCCATGCACGTGTGTGTGCGAGGCACCGAGGCTGCCAAGGCATGGGCGGGTGGCATGCTGGGGTCAGTGATACCATGGGCAGTGAGTGAGGAGTGGTCCGGGCTGCATGAAGTTGCTGTGAGGCCTCAGAGGCTGTCCGTGGTAAGGCCTTGCTGGGGGAGCAGAGCGATGGGGACTCGGCCAGCAGGGGCAGAGCCTGGTGTGTGGCCGGAGTGAGAAGAAGGCCCTGGGAGTCTCCACTGCCCCAGGAAGGGCAGGCGTGACCTCCACCGGCTCAGGCGACTTCCCCTGCACAGTGTGGGTGACAGACAGCCTCCTGACTGAGCGACTTGCCCTCGGAGAAGAGCAGAGAATGGTGGTGACGGTTTCAGTGGTGCAGCCATCTGTCTACCCGGCCAACCTGGGGCCTGTTCCTGGGTGCCCTCCAGGATAGGATGGAAGCACTGTCCATCCCTTTCAGGGCTCATGGGGCCTTTCCTGTTGGCAGCAGCCAGGGTGTCTGGTATGATTCTGGAGTTTGAAGAGCCGAATTCCTGGGACATGGCCCTGGAATGCCTCACAGCTGGTGGAAAGCTCCGGAGGCTGCAGTCGGCCGGGCTCCCTCATGGGTGTCCGGTGTTATCTCCCGGGGACCTCAGTGGACCCACAACAGAAGCAAACCTGGGCAGTGGGAGCTCCTCTTATAACGCGGCTCCTGGGTGTCGCGGCTCCTGGGTGTTGCGGCTCCTGACTCGACGGTGGCAGCGGCATGGCTGTTACAGTCGCCTTGGCCTCAAGCCACCGTCTGCAATGGTGACGCAGCCCGCTGCATGTAGCCTGGTGCATGTTCTCCCGCAGAGTGTCACCGGGATGGAATGAGTTCCCACAGAAAGGGGGCCCAGGGTCTGTGCCTGGAGCAAGGAGCACGGCCGATGGTCAGCTCCATCCCTCACCCTCTGCTCTGCCCTTTGTGAGGGATCCTGCAAAAAAACAGTGGAACTGCGAGTGATTCCTGCTGGAGCAGAGTCATCCACTAAACCTGTTCCTCATGGCATCCTCATAGCAGCAAGGGCTGTGAGCAGGTGTCGTGAGCCGTCCCCTCAGAAAACAGTGCTGGCTGGAGCCTGTGTGCCTGGTATTACTGCTAGAGTTTGCCCAGCCTCATCCCTGGAGAGGGACCCTGGGGCCATCCTGTGGGCAGCAGTGGGTACCCAGCATTGCTCAGCAACTTTCTTTTGGTTTCTGTGGCTCCTTTTCTTCAAAGACCCAAGGTGCCCTTTCTCTCCCCAGCTCCAATGAGCAGAGGTGCCAAGGGCAGAGGGTGAGGTGGGGCTTCCTGGGCCTCCCATGTGCTCCGCGGGTTTCAAGGGCAGCCCTGACACCTCTGCCAGGGCCTGTGGGCCAGACCTCCCTGGAGGGCATCTCTTGTCCATCAGACTGGATGCTTTCTGCCCTGCTGAGATGGGGAGGGCCGGTCCCTGGGCAAGCTCAGCCGTCCAGTGCCAGGGGGGTTAACAGCCACCCACAGAGGCCCCCGCTGACTCCCCTCTGCAGGCGTGGCGTGCTGCACCTCCACCAGAGCCATGGCATCGACGACCTGGGGCCTCCACGGTGGCAGCTCACAGCCTGCCTGGTGCTGGTCATCGTGCTGCTCTACTTCAGCCTCTGGAAGGGTGTGAAGACCTCGGGGAAGGTGAGGCTCAGGGTCACCAACTGGGCCTGTAGACATGGGGCCACCAAGTGGACATGTGGCCGTGGCTGGGCAGGAGGTGCACATGTGGCCTCAGTTGGGTTTTGTGCTACAAATGTGGCCATGGCCAGGTTGGGGTGGACACATGGCCATGGTTGAGTTTGGGGGACACATATGGCCATGATCAGCTTGGGAGTGTACACGTGGCCATGGTTGGGGGTACACCTGTGGCTGTGCTGGGTTGGCTTGGGTAGACACATGGCCGTGGCTGGGTGGGGGGAAGGTGGACACGTGGCCGTGGCTGGGCTGGGTGGACACAGGGCACCGTCGGGTTTTGGGTCCATATGTGGCCGTGTTTGGGGAAGGGCCTCAGGAGAGAAGCACCCACGGCAGTGTTTCTGGCAGGAAGGCACACACAACGTGGTTTTTTTTGTTGATAAAAATACTTTGGGAGGCTGAGGCGGGCAAATCACCTGAGGTCAGGAGTTCAAGACAGCCTGGCCAACATGATGAAACCCTGTCTCTACTAAAAGTACAAAATTAGCCGGGCGTGGTAGCATATGCCTGTAATCCCAGCTACATGGGAAGCTGAGGCAGGAGAATTGCTTGAACCCAGGAGGCGGAGGTTGCAGTGAGCTGAGATCATGCCATTGCACTCCAGCCTGGGCAAAAAGAGCGAAACTCCATCTCAAAAAAAAAAATAAATAAAATAAATACTTTTTTTAAAACCAGTTTTGACCAAGGTATGCCCCTCCCTTGGAATAGTGTGTGTAGTGTGGCACCAGCCTCCTGCAGGGAGCCTCCTGCAGGGACACAGCCCAGAGCTACCTTTCATCGTCCCACAGTGCCATTCACCAGTGTCAATCCACTCATCCCACGCATCAGAAAACCCCCATCAGCCACTCCCAGCTACTCTGGCGAACCGAATGCAGAAAAGGAATGTGCTTTCCCTGCCAAGCTGTTCTTCCCATTCCATCCCTGGGGAGGGTGTGCGGGATGGAAAGCGTTTGACCTTCTCACTCCAATGAGCATTTGCTGAGCTGGCGTCCCGGGAGATGTTTGGGAACTGGGCCTCCCAGTCAGAGGACAAGCTGTCAGGGCAACCTAGTGCCCATGTGCCGGTGTCTGCTCCCACCGAGGGCCCTACCTGTGCAGCCTGGTGACACTGTCCTCTCCTGCAGGTGGTGTGGATCACAGCCACCATGCCATACGTGGTCCTCACTGCCCTGCTCCTGCGTGGGGTCACCCTCCCTGGGGCTATAGACGGCATCAGAGCGTACCTGAGCGTCGACTTCTACCGGCTCTGCGAGGCGTCTGTGAGTACAACCCGCTCACTGCTTCACAGTCCACAGGGGCTCTGACGTTCCCGGGTTTCCATATTCATTGCCTGCCAGGGCTGAGATGTATCAGAGTTGCGGAAACCAGGGTTCTTTCCTCAGGAAGCCAAATCTCAAATACCCATGATACAGTATGAGTCATCTAAATCAGATTACATCGAAAACTCCATCTAGAGTCAGGCTGCAGATTTGGTCAGCAAAAGAAGAAATAATTCGGGGTTAAAATGTTTGGAGAAGGCCTCCTGGAGAGAGACTTGGCTGGGCCATGGGATGGGCCCCTTGTCAAGAAAGGGAAGGGAAGGGGCTGCACCATTTCTGACAAACAGGCCCAGAAACAGAAGCAGCCGTTGGAGGAAGGCTGGCATGACAAAAATGGCAGCTCACTTGGGGCATTGTTGGAAATCAGGTGGACTAGGTGGAGGAGGTGGCAGGCCCCAAAGCCACCCAGGGGCGTCCATGTTGCTGTGAGAGGACGATGCAGCAAGAGGTGTGGGGCCATCTCAGCTGGAGTGTGAGGCAGGAGGCCGTTGAGAGGTGCTGCCCTATGTGGGTGGGCCAGTGGTGCCAGGTCTGGGGTCATGAGGCAAGTGTAAACCCAAGGCAGAAGTGGGAAGGAAGGGAGACAGGATAGGCAGGCATGGCTGCAAGCCTCCCAGGAAGCCCCAGGGAGGTAGCAGCTGACAGGTGCAGTGGGAGAAGGCACCTGGACATGGCACCTATGAGCCTGCAAAGCAGCTGGGTGGGGGTGGGGGTGGAAGTGTGTCTGCAGCACTGAAGGGGAAGCCCCTGTGGAGACAGGAGCCATGGGTGCAGCAGGCATGTGGTCCACGGGAGCCACAGAAGAGAGAGGAGCACAACCAGGGCAGCAAAATCAGTCGTGGCCAGGGACCCACAAGTGCAGAGCTGGAGCCGGACAAACCGTGAAGCCAGCAGTGTGTCAGGACCCCAGAAAGGCCAAAGTGAAGTCAAGGGGTGCATTTGCAGGAGCAGGACGTGTTATAGAATCAAACAAAAATGTCACAAATACAATGCTCCAGCCAGGAAAAATAAGCAGCCCCATGAGAAGGCAAAACAAACACCAGTGCATGTGAAAAGATGTCCATTGGAGAACAAATTACACAGATGAGATGTCAAAAATTAGGTGGAGAGAGTGAATAGATTGGATGGATGGATGGGTGGATGGAAGGCTGGCTGGCTGGCTGGCTGGCTGGCTGGATGATAGGCAGGTAGGTGGACAGAGTGGATGGATGCATGGATGGACGGGTGGATGGACAGATGGACAGATGGATGGATGGATGGATGGATGGATGGATGGATGAGTAGGTAGGTAGGTGGATAGGATGGATGTATGGATGACAGTTAAGTAGGTGGATAAAATGGATAGATAGGATGGATGAATGGATGACTGATAGGTAAGTAGGTGGATAGAATGGATGGATGGATGGATGATGAATGGATGATGGATGGGTGAATAAGTGGATGAATGGTAGGTAGGTAGCTGGATAGGATGGACGGATGGATAATGGATGGGTGGATGAATGGATGGATGGATGATGGGTGGATTGGTGGATGATGGATGGATGGGTGGATGGATGAATGATAGGTGGGTAGCTGGATAGGATGGATGGATGGATGATGGATGGGTGGATGGATGATGGATGGGTGGATGGATGATGGGTGGATTGCTGGATGATGGATGGATGGGTGGATGGATGAATGGGGGAATGGGTGGATGAATGATAGGTAGGTAGCTGGACAGCATGGATGGATGATGGATGGGTGGATGGATGGATGATGGATGAGTGGATGGATGGATGATAGGTAGGTAGCTAGATAGGATGGATGGATGGATAATGGATGGATGATGGATGGGTGGATGGATGATGGATGGATTGCTGGATGATGGATGGATGGGTGGATGGATGAATGATAGGTAGGTAGCTGGACAGCATGGATGGATGATGGATGGGTGGATGGATGGATGATGGATGGGTGGATGGATGGATGATAGGTAGGTAGGTAGATAGGATGGATATACAACAGGATGGATGGCGATAGATATGTACACACACATGTACTTCATATATTCATAGATGATATATGGTTGATAGATTATAGAGATGACAGATAGATGATAGACTGGTGATGGATTGATAGATGACAGTGATAGATGACAGATAGATGGATGAGTGATTGATAGATACTAGATGATGGATTGATGTATAGTGAAGAGAAATCAGGAAAGAAATGGAAGGAAAAGACAATTCCAGGTCTTGGAGTGTAAGTGCATGAGGTGAGGCCCAGGGAGGCAGCCGTGGGCACTGGCTCTGGGGTGGCACTGGGCAGAGGCCTGAGCTGCACACACAGCTCAGGGTGAGGAGGAGGCAGGTGCTCCCCTGTGACACCTGATCCAGCCTGCAGTCACTTGGCCAGGCAGGTGACTGATGACTAGCATGGGAGCCACATTAGGGTATGAACCTCTCCACCCACTGCCCACCCAGCCACTCTTGGCTTGGCTCCTCCCCTCATGCTGAGACACTGGCCATCTGCACAGCCCTGACTGCAGGGCCTGGCCATCTGCCCCCAAACCCACTGTTCCAGGACCTGGGGTGGCCTTGAGGCTATGACATGCTGCCCGATGGACAGAGGGCCCCGCCCCCTCTGCAGCACCCAGTTCCCCCGTTCAGTCAAGCTCAGGCAAGCTTGACCTGGGACCTGGGATGCCCTGAGACCCACCTGACCCCCCCAGCAGGAGCATCTGGTGCCTCTGTCTCAGCATCCTGGCCCACAGGCCTGTACCATGGGCTTCATGGACTTGCAGGAACAGCCCTGGCTGACTAGTCCCTCAAATGCCTCCAAGGGGGTTTGGCTGCTCCTTCTCCCCCATCCGAGGCCCAGGCAGGGGCAAGGTGGGCATGTGAGTCACTGAATGGTCTCCACAGTGCCCTCACCTTAGCAGGTTGTGGCTGACTTTTTAAAATACACAATGGTCCAAACATGGACCCACCCACCTTTCCTTTCACATCCAGAGTCGTGGGTGCCATCCACCAAGTTGGGCAGGCACAGCACCAGCGTCTAAGCTGCAGGTGGGCTCCTGGCCATGCCCGGGTGCTACTGTGCACCTATACTGCTCGTGTTTCGGGAAAAATACAAAGCAGGTATTGCTGGTGTGCGTCCAATCAGGACACCATCATCATGTAGCGTGGATATGGATGTGGATGAGTCCATGCCTTTCTGAGGGTTGTCAGGAAGCCGCCATCATGCAGCGTGTGGATGAGTTTATGCTGTTCTGGGGGTTTCGGAGCACTGCCATCGTGCAGCAGGGCACACATGGGACAGGGGGACACACTCAGGGGGTTGTGAAGCCCGACCCTGATCAAGGGAGGATGGAGACCCCACTAGGGCTGGTGTGAGTGTGGATGAGTCCATGCTGTTCTGAGGGCTATCAGGACGCCGTCAGCATGTTGTGTGTGGATAAGTTCATGACTTTCCGAGAGCTATCAGGGTGCCGCCATTATGCAGCATGTGGATGGGTCCGTGCTGGTCTGAGGGATACCATGGCTCCACAATCATGTCCTGTGTGGATGGGTCCGTGCTGTTCTGAGGGTTTTAGGACACTGCGGTTGTCCTGTGTGGATGGGTCCGTGCTGTTCTGAGGGCTATGGAGCAGGGCATCTCTGGTTCTGTGGAATCGCTGCCCTGACACTCCATGGGGAATCCCAGATCAGTGAACACGGACAGCGCCCTGCTTCTCAGGCTCTTCCAGGCTGCTGACCCGGGAGGGTTCACTTCCTGAGGCTGTGTTTTCCACCAGTCGCGCTGCTGCCATTTGCCTCTTAAGGATGGTGTTGAGTTTAGAGGCCTTAGCGTGGGGCTGGGATGGGGAGGGTGCTCGGGTCCTGCGTTCTCCTGGGACAGCCTCTCACTGCCCTCTGGCTCTGCAGGTTTGGATCGACGCGGCCACCCAGGTGTGCTTCTCCCTGGGCGTGGGGTTTGGGGTCCTGATCGCCTTCTCCAGCTACAACAAGTTCACCAACAACTGCTACAGGTGAGCCCCTAGCAGGGCCAGGCAGGGGCCTCGTCGATACTGGGGAGGGGTTGCTGACCTCCAGAAATAGCGCGTTCCTGGGTGAGGACAGGGCGGATCAACGGAACCCGCAAGCGTGGGAGGTGCGTGGCCTTTCAGACAGGAAGCGGACGATTTTGTTCGAAGGGAGCGGGGGGTGGCCCCGAACCAGCCTGGAGCCGAACGGCGGATGGGTAGGAGTGAGCATCTGTATAGGTAAGTCTACTAATACAACAGCGGGCGAGGGGGGGGCCGGCCGGGGGGCGGAGGAGGCGACGGGGGGGAGTGCGTGTGATCGATTTCAGGCTGTTAAAGAAGGCACTGAAGCACGTGGGTGTGTCGCCTCCTGGGAGGGACCTGCCAAGGTTTGACCTGCGGCCAGATTCCCCACTGAGGACCCCGAGCAGCAAGGCCAGCCCCTCCCGGCACAAGGACACACCCTCCTCCCTCGCACCAGCCCCAGCGGGGTCTTTGTCCTCCCTCGCTCAGGGTCCAGCTTCACAACTCCCTGAGTGTGTCCCCCCATCCCATGTGCACCCTGTGTTACCAGCAGGCACCTGAAGCCCTGTGCTGGACCCCAAATCCTCCTAAAAACAGAAACAGAATTTTATCTGGGACCTGCTTTCTTTGACCTTTATGGACTTGTGCTTACTTTCTTCCACATCATGAGGATAGAAACGCAGTAAAAATACAAGGACAGTGTGTGCAGCAGAATGGTCAGAGAGACCACAGACGGGCTCCACCGAGAGTGGGCGCTGGAGGGCAGGTCCCGAGGCAGCCCCTGCCTGCAGCCCACCTGCGTCCACCTGGGTCCAGGTGCTCTGCAGATGAAGTGTGTGGGGCCCTTCCACCCCGGCGACAGGCCACACAGGAACCCAGGAGGAGGACGCTGGTGCTCTGTCCGACCCCAGGACCCTCCCTGTTCCTCCCTTGCTTGCCTCCAGCCCTCTGGTTTCTCAGCCCTCAGAGTGGGGCCCCCAGGCCCGCAGCACCAGCACCCTTGGGAGTTTACGGGAAACGCAGGCCCTGAGACCCCATGAGACCCCCCCAGTCAGGATCTGCATCTTAGCAAGGTCCCCGGGAGGTGTGTGCTCCTGGAGGTTCTGGAAGCTCCGCCCTGGGTGAGGCGCCCACAGCAGGACTCGCGGGGCACAGAGGCAGTCGTCCGTTCTGCCCACCCTGAGCCTTGATGGCTGAGCCTTGAGCAGCTCAGCCGGGGGGCCAAGGTGGTCCAAGGACAGCTCTGCCAGGCTGCTAAGGCCGTACTCACTGGGAAAAGCGGCCCCTCCAAAGACCTCCCGCCCCCTTCCCCAGACACAGTAAATTAAGAATAATGACTGGAAAATTGCAGCTGCTGCAGCTCAGCTGGTTCCTGAGACGGCTTGTCTTGTTCTTCCAGGGACGCGATAGTCACCACCTCCATCAACTCCCTGACGAGCTTCTCCTCCGGCTTCGTCGTCTTCTCCTTCCTGGGGTACATGGCGCAGAAGCACAGCGTGCCCATCGGGGACGTGGCCAAGGACGGTGAGCCCCTCCTGCCATGCCTGGGCCTGCTCCACGTAGCCCCCGGTGCTGAGCTCTGAGCAAAGCCTTTTTCCTTGTGAAAGAGGAAGGAGACGCACGGGCCCTGAGCGACGTCAGTGAGAGTTGCTGCCTCACTCTTGAAGGAGGCACAACCCAGTACGGACCTGCCCCCAACCCAGCACCTTCCCTGCCCTGCCCCTCGCGGGCCCTCCACCCTGGGCTGCGGAGCCTCAAGCCCAAATGCAACTGAGCAGCACGGTTGGTGCCTTGGTCCCTCGGCTGCTCCCTGCGGATGCCACATGGGGCTGAGCCACCAGGGTCTGGCGTGGATGTTGTCACTGAGGCCCTCTAGACGTTTGCTTGCCACGTGGTGTGGGAACGTGCAGCTCAGGGAAGGGGAGAAATGAGCCGCTCCAGCAACACCTGGAGGCAGGCTGGGGTGGCGCGAACGTCAGCTTGGCCACAGAGCAGCCGGGAGATCCCTGAGGCCTCCAGCACAGGGTGGCCCTGCCTGCTGCCCAGGCCGACGCATGACGCTGAGTGTCCCTGCACGCCTGGAGTTGTCTCCGAGAGGGTGGGGAGGGGTCCAGGTCTTGGGCAGGCGCAGGTGAGTTGCAGGGAGGCCTCAGCCGCAGCAAGAAGTGAGCCAGGCAGGATGAAGCCGGCAGGACGGGCACAGGTGCAGGGGCTGAGGGCGAGGGGGCTGAGGGCGGGGAGGCCTCAGCCGCAGCACAAAGTGAGCCAGGCAGGATGAAGCCGGCAGGACGGGCACAGGTGCAGGGGCTGAGGGCGAGGGGGCTGAGGGCGGGGAGGCCTCAGCCGCAGCACAAAGTGAGCCAGGCAGGATGAAGCCGGCAGGACGGGCACAGGTGCAGGGGCTGAGGGCGGGTCCAGGCACTCGGGGCCACTTGCCTGGCTCTGGTGCTTGCAGTGGAAAGCTGTGGCGTTGGCAGCCCTAACTTGGGGCAACCGAGGGCTCCAGGGAGTCCCGAGGCTTCTCGGTCTGTGTCAGCCAGCAGAACCCCCGCCTGCCTCCAGGCCTGCCCTGCCACACGGATGTGGAGGAGGCCCTTTCCCTCCAGACACGGGCCCCTGGGTTGGGTGGGCTCCCATCCTGCGTCCCCATCCTTGCTTCCTCTGGACTGTCTTCTCTGGCGGTGGGGGTGGGGGGTAGTGGGGAGGCTACATTTGCGAGGAATGATTGTGCTCAGAAAAGCCCATCTGGTGTGGGTGTTGTCGCTGACTGAGCTCTGCCTGGGTGTTGGGGCTCAGTGAGGGCAGGGAGCGACAAGCACCAAGCGGGGGCAGCCTTGACCCCATCTGAGTCTCACAGAGGGGGGCACTAGGACCCTCTCACCGCAGGTAGGAACAGGCTCAGAGACCTGAAAGCGCCTCCGTGCTTGCAACAGGAAGCCTGGGTCGGGGCTGGAGCCGCAGCTCAGAGGCGGGCCTCCAAAGCCCGTGTTCTTTCCTTTAGGAAAAAAAAATTCAGTCAAAGCGAGAGGAAGGGAACATCATGCATATAAATGCAGGGCAGTGAAATTTACTCGGTGCCGCATTTATGCATTTTCTCCATTCTTTTTGCCCTTTATTATGATAAATTAGCATAGTTTGCAGAAACCTCTATTAACCCCTGAAAATAAAGTTGAATGTTCTGTGCATTGCATAACAAGCAAAGTAAATGTCATTTACAGGCGTAATTCTCAAGAAAACAGGGTGAAATGTTAACTCAGGTACAGAAACTCAGGCAAGGGTGTTGACATTACGTTCCCCGAGCTGATGAATATCTTCCCAGGCTCCTGGCTGGTACCATCCAAGCCCCGGAACGTCTCAGGCAAGCCTGCCTCCCCACCCCACGTGGACACTGTCCCCGTCCACCAGGGTATCCGGGAGCTGTGAGAGCCCAGGTCTGACCCCACTGCTTGGCTGACAGTAAGGCCCCTGAAAGACCTTTAGGAACGGCCCCTGGCTCTGGCCTTTGATTATTTAAAAGGCCAGGCCCAGGCCTATTCCCGCAGGCTAGGGCCAGACACATGCCTGCTGAGGACAAGGGACTCTGTTGCAGGCAGATTGGGCTCTGGAGACAGTGCCAGCCAGTGGAGGACGCAAGGCTTCTGAAATGGTCAATGGTCAATTGCCTATGGGACTGGTTTTTACTTTGGGGTCATCGGAGACCAAATTGCGTTGACTTTGGTCGCGTGCCTGCCACGCTCTTATCCCCTCCACCTCCATCCAGGTCTGCCTGCTCGTAGCAGGAAGCACGCGTCAGCTCCCCAGAGAGCTGTGCGGGGACACCTCCTCTACCTTGGCCATGCCACCCCTCACCCTGGCGTGCCCCTAGCTTGCAGGGATGGCAAGGTTGCAGGTTTATCTCTTATCTTCGAAGCCACCATCTGGGCCCCTGTATCCGTCAGGATGTGCTGCTCCTCTGAGCCCTCAGGGCCCCAGCTGATAGGAGCCCGTCTCGATGTGGCCTCCGTGCTGCTCCTCTGAGCCCTCAGGGCCCCAGCTGATAGGAGCCCGTCTCGATGTGGCCTCCGGGATGCCGTGGCAGGGGCAGTGGTAAAGGAACCACACACTCCTCTACCAAGCTTCACTCACAGGGACCCACTCATTGTGGGTTCACAGCGCATTGGCCAAGTGCAGCCATGTCTAACCTCATGGGAGGGTGGGAGGACCTCAGCTTCCTCGTGTGCCTGGAAGGCAGAGGTCAGGAACGTATCCCTAATGTTTTGCTAAATTTAGAAATTAGGCTACTGAATAGTGTGGTTGTGTGTGATGTGTGTGTTCTTGTGTGTGTGTGTGTGCATGCCCATGCGTGCATCTATTTGTGTGTGTACACGTGGATGTGTTTTTGCATGGATGAGTTTGAATGCACAAATATGTGCGTGCACGTGCCTGCGTGTGTATCACATAATATGTGCAGGAAAAACTAACTAGAAGGACGTTAGCAGGTGTCCCTGGGATGAAGGGCAGGACCAGCCTGGAAATCCCTCCTGCCCTCCCCTTGTTTCTGCCCCTCCTTCTCCCCGCGCCCCCATAACCCGCGAGGACACAGGTAATTTGCAGGAGCTCCATTGCTGGGTGGCGGGCATGAACCAAAGCCCTCCCATTGGTTCTGGGTTTCCGTTTTCCTGAGTCCCAGGCCAGGGTCTGCTGGATGCACAGGAGGGAGGCTGTTCAGCAGGGCCGCACCAGCCCTAGTCTTTACAGGCCTGTGACAGGCCGTGTTGGCCTCTCGGGGCGGGGTGGGGCAGGATGGGTGGGAGAGCACAGCCTGGGCTCTGTGGCAAGCAGGGCGGGTTCTGTTTCAGGGCCGGGGCTGATTTTCATCATCTACCCGGAGGCCATCGCCACGCTCCCGCTGTCCTCGGCCTGGGCCGTGGTCTTCTTCATCATGCTGCTCACCCTGGGTATCGACAGCGCTGTGAGTAACCCGCCCTGTGCTCGGCACTTGGGTTCCTTCCACCCAAGGGGGCCCCGCCCTCCCAGGGCCAGGCAAGATACCTGGGCTCACAGACGGCCCCCAGACCTGTGCACTTGGGCAAGCCCTGCGATTATTTGGGAGACCTTTCTTGGGGGTGGGGTGAGTGGTGACTGGAGTTTAACTTTTCCTTTATCCCTCTACTCTGGGGTACCCGTGTGCCCTGCCCTGAGCCACCTACAGATCCTGGACATGTGCACATACATGTACACACACATACACGAATGCATGCACACACACATACACGAACGCATGCACACACACATACACAAATGCACGCACACACATACATGAACACACACACACGAACACACACGCGCACACACATGCACACACGCACATGCATGCATGCACTCACGCATGCACACACACATGCGCACGCGCAAGTGCACACACACATGAGCGCACACACATGCACACACACATGCGCACACACATGCACGCACATACAGCAGGGCCCCAGCCACCAAAGACTTGGCTCAGGACACCAGAGTGGTGGGGCCTTGGAGGGCACACAGCAGGTCCTTCATATCTCATGGCTTTCCCTGGAACCCTCGGCGACCCCACGAGGAATGAGGAGGGCAACAGCAGTTCCTGGCACCCACCAACCCCAGGCCTGGCCCTGAATGCTTTGTGTGTGGCCCCTGCACCTCCAGCTGCTGGGGGTGGCAGGTGGAGCCCTCGATCAGCCCTGGGCCTGCTAGACTTTCTCAGGCTCCTTCTTCCCTGTCAGCTGCAGGGGACCTAAGTACCCAGAATCCCTTTCCTTATAAACACGGGTCATGCACCTGACCCCCACTCATATCCTATCCAGCTCGGCCACAGCTCTTGGGTTGACCACAGGCCTCGTGTTCCTGACATGGGAGCATGAAGGGGGGGCCTGGACCGAGACCGAGCAAGATGAAGAAGGTCACTACGTAGGAGTCAGGTGCCTGGATGGCATCTCACAGGAGGATGCCTGGAGTTGGGAGGCTCCATCGAGAAGGTGTAGCCAATGGCCGGGCCAGGTGCACCCAAAAGCTTTGCGTGGGGGGCGCGTCTTGCTCAGGAAAATCTGGCTGAGCCGAGCCTGTGCAGCAGCAGTGGACGGGGTGGTGTTGTTTTAGCCATACCACATCTTACCCACCCAGAGACATCGAAGACACTGCAAACCCCCTACCGTGGATAGAGTGGTCCCTCTGGGTCCTCTCTCCTGTGGTCGTGCCACCATAGAAGCCCTCACCAATAGCTGTCCTCACTACCAGGCGTCCTGCACCCTGGACAGCCGCATGGCCCCTGTTCCATGTCCTTCTCTGGGTGTGCGTCCCCTGGGTGACAAGTAGATCTTGGCCCAGGCTGCGGACAGGAGCGCTGCCAGCCTGCAGCCCGACCCTGTGCTCTGTGTGCAGATGGGCGGTATGGAGTCGGTGATCACCGGGCTCATCGACGAGTTCCAGCTGCTGCATAGACACCGTGAGCTCTTCACGCTCTTCATCGTCCTGGCGACCTTCCTTCTCTCCCTGTTCTGTGTCACCAATGTACGTACCATTTGCCGGCTTCGCCTTCTCCTGGTCATGTCTCCTTAGCATGTGGCATGGGGTGCCCTGGCTGGGACTGTCAGGCCAGACAGAACCACAGCACTTTCAGGAAGCTGCGTCCCCACCCACCCCAGAGAATGACTCACAGCAGTGCACAGGGTAACTGCATATGGGAGCTTAGTCCCAGAGTCACTTCAGCACCGGGACAGCTCCCCCAGAAGCGCCCGAGGCTGAAGCTGCCTCCTTCTAGGGTTTGGGGACTGGGGGACACTGGGGGTGTGGTGACAGAGCCCATCTATGTGGGAGGGGGTGGCAGAGCCTATCTACATGGGAGGGGGAGCCCAGGCCACGTGCTCTCCAAGGGAGGCACTGCCAAGTTCCACGTTTGGTTGCTTCTATTTCTAATTGCACACAGAGCCCTGGGAAGGGAAAGGAGAGGTCATTTTTATTTTTATTTTTTTGTGATAGACGTGGCCCTAAGTAGCTGCATGTGGATAGAATTTTAGGGACTCAAAGCAGAGTTTGCACTGAGTGAAACCATTTGTGTGCACAGTGAGTCCCGGGCCAGGTTGACCTTTGGGGAAAGCCCTTCTGCAGCTCCACAGGCTCCCCTCTCTTCCAGGGTGGCATCTACGTCTTCACGCTCCTGGACCATTTTGCAGCCGGCACGTCCATCCTCTTTGGAGTGCTCATCGAAGCCATCGGAGTGGCCTGGTTCTACGGTGAGTCTGGGGAGAGGGAGCCAGGCCCACGCCCTCTTGTTTGGTGGCTGTGCCGCTCCCCTTCTGACAAAGCCGCTGTGAGGACACACCTTTCAGCTGCCGGAAGCCTGGGTTGTGATCATCACAGCTCCGCACAGGGGAGAGGCTTGGCCCTGGTCCTTTCGATGGGATCAGTGAGGTGCTTAGCTTGGATGGCGGCTGGAAGACGCACACTGTGGTCAGAGGTGTTCACAGTGGCCGGGCGTCTTCCACCTCCTCCACGCTGGAGGCACTGGCGAGCCCATCCCACACAATCAGATCCATGCTGGGGTTTTCAGCAGGGATGTGACATGCTGCATTTCAAAGGTGCCGTCATGGCCTTGCCTGCTGACCAGAGCCCCAGAGCAGTCGGGGCGTGATGGCCAGTGGGCGGCTCTCCAACGGATGCCCCAACGGGTGCAGCTCCTGGCCCATTGGTCTGCCCCAGCTGGGTCCTGGGATGTCCACCAGGGGTTTAAACAGCAACAGAAAACCCAGCCTGGAGCCAGGGCTGCCCCTTCCCTGTGTGCTGACCTGGACAAGTCACCTCGACTCCCCTCAGTTCTCTCTTCTGTAAGACGGGCTGGAGTGCCAGCTCCACTCACCTGGCCAGGTCGCTTCTGGGGAGGTGGCAAGGCTGAACCTGGGCATCTCACCATGAATGTGCAGGCTGGGCGTGGTGACCTGTGACCCAGCACTTTGGGAGGCCGAGGTGGGCAGATCACGAGGTCAAGAGATCGAGACCATCCTGACCATCATGGTGAAACCCCATCTCTACTGAAAAAAAAAAATTATCTGGGCGTGGTGGCGCACGGCTATAATCCCAGCCACTCGGGAGGCTGCAGCTTTTCTGAAGACACAGCGATGGTGTACTTACGACAGAGTATGATTCAGCTTGAACCCGGAAGGCGGAGGTTACAGTGACCCGAGACTGTGCCACTGCACTCCAGCCTGGGCGACAGAGTGAGGCTCCATTTCAAAAAATAAAAAAAAAAAAATGTGGGGATCTGGCTGAACGTCTGTGGTGCTGCGTGAGCCCTGGTTTTGGAGGACGCCCAGCTCACCTGCAAACAAGGGGGTCATGCCTCAGAGCCATGGAATTTATAGCCAGATAAATGCCCTGGCTTTCAGACAAATCAGAGAAATAGCTCCTATTCTGAGAACGTTGTTTTCAGTGTTGGTTTTCAGTGTTGCTCTACAGAAAAGGGAAATATCAACGTCGTTGTACTTTCACGGGTGCCTGGAATCAATACTTTGTCTATCGCTTTCATTGTCATGTTCCCTGAACAAAACATAGACCTTCACAGAGGAAGGGAGAAAGTGCCTCGAATTCACCAGCGCCATGGCCTCTGGAACCACGGGAGTCGGGGAGAAGCTGGCCCTGGTGAACTGAGCCTCCGAAGACTGAGATCTGTGTTATTTTTCCAAAGAGAAATCCACGCCCCTCTCATCTAAATGAAACAAAATCTGTGCTCTAATAAGCTGCGGAATACGCCGGGCTTCCAGTGCGCCGCGGTCCTGTAGGTCTTGGAGCTGATGACTCCTGCTCCGGCAGGGGCCCGGGAGGAAGGGTCTGGGGGCTGAGGGGCCTTGGAGATGCCCCCCTTGGCTTCTTCTGGCCTCACCTCTCTGCATCCCCGCTGCCTCCCACGTCCATCTCTCATGTCCAGGGCTCGGATGCCGGGGTGGGGTGTGCAGAGGGGATTCCGTGTGGAGGCTTCTTTCTGAGGGGACACGGGACGACTGCCAGACTTGCCCCAGATCTCAGCAGATCAGCCGTGGGCACACGAGTCACAGACCAGGCCAGATGTGGGGGGAGAGCTCACTCTTAAGGTCTTATGGTCAGTTCCTAGAAGTTAGATGATACCAGCGAAAGAAAAATAGGCCTTTCTAAAGCAGACTGCTGGTACTTGCTTTTGGGGAGAAAAAAATGTTTATTATGTTTCTCGAAATAGCTTTTCTGAAGACACAGTAACAGTATACTTACACAACGGAATATGGTTCAGCCCTAAAACGAAAGGGAATGCTGAGGTGGCTGCAGCTTGGGTGGCCTCAGGGACACTCTCCAGGGAGTAAGCCAGTCGCAGAGGCCCCGTGCCGCGTGACTCCACTGACGGGAGGTGCCCACAGGAGTCACATTCATTCAGACAAAAAGCAGATGATGCCGGGGCCTGGCGGGGGTTGGGGGTCGGGAGGAGTTGGCGTTTCATGGGGGCAGAATTTCGTTTTGGAAGATGGAGTTCTGAAGATGGTGGTGGTGATGGTTACACAGTACGTGAATGTATTAATACATTATGAACTCTACACATAAAAATGGCTAAAATGGGAAGTTTTATGTTGTATGTCTTTTACCACAATCTTTTTAAGTGAACGAGGAGTACCGGTGGCAGAGGGAGGCAGGGAGAGCCGTGGGATGAGGAGGAGGAGCTGAGGGGCTGTTGCTGGGGTGCGGGGAGCTCCTGCCGGGGTGTGGCTCTTCCTGGTAGGTCTCCAGGGTGGAGCGGACATGTGGGCTCCCACCCGTCAGCGAGGCACCCAGTGGGCTGGGGTGTGGCCCGGCCCCCTCCACAGGAGGCTGGATGCAGCCGGAGCCTGGGGCCGGTAGGTGGGACCCTTGGGGGTCAGCGAGGACCCCACGTGTGTCTAGCATCGGGGAATGCACTGCCCTGATGGGCGCTGACGCTGCCTCATCTCCCCTCAGGCGTCGGGCAGTTCAGCGATGACATCCAGCAGATGACCGGGCAGCGGCCCAGCCTGTACTGGAGGCTGTGCTGGAAGCTGGTCAGCCCCTGCTTCCTCCTGGTAAGGGACCTTCGGTCGCCTGCCCCTCCCCCTGCCCACTGCCCCCACTCTGGCACCTGCCCCGAGGTCCAGCGCCCACATGTGGGTTGTTGCTTGAGCAAACTGTGTGCACAGGAGGCTGCGGGCAGGACCCGGGGTGGGCCCCTAAAGGCTGCTTTGAGACTGAGCTCACCGTGGCTGGAGTCAGGGACCTCAGGACTCGGCCCGAAAGGGCAGGCTGGTCCCCGAACTCATCTCTAGTCTCCTGAAGGTGCCTTCCGCCCTCCCCTCTAGACCCACCAAGAAAACCTCAGGTGTGGCCCCAGGTGGTCTTGGACCCCTGCCACAGCCCGTGTGAGGCCTGCACTTGGGCTGTGCCGCTGTGTTGGGAGGGGAAGCTGGAAGTGAGTCTGGCCATCCACTCACCTCTACCCGTGAGGATCAAGGTTGAAGTTAGAGCTTCCGGGCTGGCGGGGACAGAGGATGCCGAGTGCTGGAGACCCTGAGAGTAAAAGGGACCTTGGCCCTGTCCCGTTGCCTCCCTCTGACTCAGCGGCATCACTGCGTCCAGTAGGCACTTCTATCATCTGGGCTGGGCCGCTGAGTCAGGGCCCACCGGGCAAGGCCATGGGAGTTTGTAAATAGAGTTTTGTTGGCACGTGGCCACGCCCACCCGTTAGGGATTGCCTGCAGTGCTTCCCCGGCTGAACCACAGAGGCCCAGAGGCTCACAAAGCAAAGCTGTGCCGCCTGGTCTGGGCAGGAGACCTAAGAACTGCCCAGGTCTAAGCAGAGCGTCCGTGAGCTGTTCACAGAGAGAAGCACCTCCCGAGTCCAGCAGGCACGAGGTGGGGCCTGGAACAGGGCGGGGGACTCAGGCTGCACCCGCTCATGGACCAAGGCTGGTCCTGGGGTCAGCAGGGCCTGCGTGCGTGGAGATCCCTCGTCACCTGCACACAGCAGGTGGGACAGCCCCGTAGTTGCAAGCAGAGAGGTTCCAGGGTACAGGAAAGAGAGGAGAGACAGGCCCTACCCCGGAAAAGCTCGACATAGTGTGACAGAAGCCACCCGGCATCTTGTAGAAATTCCACCATATCTGAGCTCCAGGCCGCGTGGCATGACTGCACGTAAGTGTTCCAAGCCCAGTTAACTGTGCTTGTGAGGCTCCCATTGAAGGCTCCTGGATGCACGGGGCAGCCTTTTAACAGGACACAGACTACACGGCTGTTCAGAGGGGAAAGTGAGGAAGCCCTCCCGGAGAGTCAGCCTCCTGCCCACCTCCCGCTCTCCCCCGCCTTTAGTTGAAACAGCCTTTTTGCATGAGGACGTCGGCTCCCCTTGAGGGGGTGTCTCCTCTTAACACCCAGAGGGCTGACCTCGATCTTAGGAGATAAAATGTTCTACTGATCTTAGACTAAATCTTCGAACTTCATACAGAAACACATGTCGTACACTTTTAGATAAACCTACAAACTACACGAAACAGGACTTCATTTTGCCAACTTGAGAGAAACATGACCATTTCATTGCTCTATGTCATTTTATATTTAGTATTACAGTGCAATTCCTATGAAGTTTTGATTTTAGCAGAAACACAATGTCTGTATTATCATCTATTTCTTCAGGCTGTGGCGTCGTCCCCTGCCCTCTGGCGTGTGCTGGCCTCTGGTTGTAAGGGGTGTACACGCTCCAGACTTGTTCAGATGACTCTGTGGCAGATGACGCCACAGCACTGCTAAATGGAAATTATGCCGGAGCAAAGGCAACTCACATGGGCAGACTGTGGCCTGCGGAGGCATAGTTCTTTCTAAGAAAAGCAGTATCTAGCAAGAAGTTGAACAGTACAAGAAAGCACGTTACAGCCATACCTACATGTCAGATATGCAAGACCGACATGTCTAGGGATGCACGCGTGGCTCTTTAAAGCATGCTCAGGGCTCTCTGTGCAGCGGAGGCCGGCCCCCAATCCCAGATGCCCCAGGACGCTGGCTTTGCTCGCCAAATTGCTGCCCACCCTGGCCTTGGTCATGTGACAGACACAACCCTAACCCCCATCCCAGTCCTTCGCTACCCAGCTCCAAACCTGCAGGTGGCTCGAAGCAGCGTGTGAAGAAGATGCTGAGACTGGCATGAGACATGCATCCAACATGCTTTTCGGGTGCAAGGCTTGGATGTTTTAACTTTTCTGAAATTGAGGAAAAATGGACAATTTGGAAAAAAAAATGCATTTTGAGCTACATCATAAACCGTATCTATCAGAACTTCCCTTGTCTCCTTGGGAAGGACTCAGGTACACAGAACACACATGTAGGCACGCAGTACACACGTGGGTGCACAGAACACATTCAGGTGTGAGGTGCATGTGGAGGCACGTGGAGGATCTTTTTAGATGGTGGTGCATGTTTGTGGAGTGGAGGAACAAATGCACGAGCTGCCTCAGGAGAAGCCTCCGGAGAGGGGGAAGCTGCCCCTCCAAGTGGCATCCATCCCACCCTCTGTGTTACCTTTGTGGTGGTGGTTCTGAGACAGGTCTGTGACTTCATCAGATTTGCTTCTAGAAAGAGTAGAGATACGGAGCCCGGATGGCCCTAGGGTGGTCCTGCATGGGTCACAGTTGTGTCTTCAGGCCATGGATCATAGATTCAGGGGACGGGCTGGTGGCCAGTTTTGTGTTTGTTGTGATTTCAAGCAAGGAATAGAACAAGGTGGGATAGAGCAGGAAGGAATGGGATGGGATGGGACGGGGTAGGACAGGATCTGGTGTAATAGAACAGGATGGGATGGGATAGAACACGATAGGATGGGAGGGGAGGAGAGGGGACAAAACAGGAGGGGAGGGGAGGGGAGGGAACAGGATAGGACAGGACAGGCTAGATCATGCCTCAGGAGGACATGGATTGCCTGGGATGCCCTGCTGCCATGTCTGCAGGCCTGGCCGGGTTCTGCATGTGCACAGCTGTAGGGGCTGAGAGACCCTCTGCCATGAAGTGCCTGCCCCATCCCTGCTTTGTCCTGGCACCGCCGGCTGAGAGCTGCCTGACCTGTGTCTGCTGGTTTCAGTTCGTGGTCGTGGTCAGCATCGTGACCTTCAGGCCCCCCCACTACGGAGCCTACATCTTCCCCGACTGGGCCAACGCGCTGGGCTGGGTCATCGCCACGTCCTCCATGGCCATGGTGCCCATCTATGCGGCCTACAAGTTCTGCAGCCTGCCTGGGTCCTTTCGAGAGGTGGGTATTTGGACGCGGCGCCTTCACCTGAGTGCGAGGCCACCAGAAAGGCTCCGTGGCTGTCCGTGGCCCCAGTCCTCACCTGCCTGGGTCATCTGTGACCAAGAGGAGGAGACTGGAGGTGGCCACCACAACAGTGTGTGTGTGTGTCCACCTGCACGCCTGTGTCCATGGGTGTGTATATGTATGTGTATTCATGTGTGTGTCTTTATGTGGGTCCACATGTGTGTGTCTATGTGTGTATGGGTCTGTGTGTGCATGTACCTGTATGTATGTCCACTGTATCTCCGTGTCTGTATGTGCTGTCTCCATGTGCACGTGTGTGTGTGCCTGGGTCTGTGCTCACATGCGTATCTGAGTGTTTGTGTGTACTGAGTGCATGCATGCCTACACACTATGGTGTGTGGTGGGGCGGACACAGCAGCCATCTGAGGGCGGTAGAATCAGGGGCGACCTAGTTCCCCCCAGGGCCGAGCCCCACTTTGGCTGAACGGGGGCAGCTGGAGCCCCAGGCAGTGGAGGAAGCTCTGTGGAGTCCCTGATGCGCACCTCCTTTCCTCGCTTGGTTTTGCCACCTTTGTGTGGAGGAAAGGCAGGTGGACCAGTCACGCGGTCCTCCTTTAACACCCTGCTCTGTGGTTCCCGGAAGATACAAAGACACGCCTTGCTTGGAAGAGGGTTGCCCTCACCTGAGAGCCCACCACTGGGAGCTCCCGGAAGCTGCTTCCTTAAATCCTAGCCTTTTTCAGAAAGAACTGGCTTGGCCCTGGGCAGCAAAACCCTGGAGTGGCACCTGCTGTGTTCAAGGATCCACCTTAGGGCCACACGGTGTCCCCTGGGCTCAGACATGTGCAGGTGCCCCCAGGCTGGCACTGAGCCTGTCTCTTCAGCAACCCGGCCAGGCCAGGGCCCAGTGCAGGCAAAGCACAGTGTGTGGCTGGGGGCTTCTGTGGAGTGGGAGGGGCTCTGGGGCTGCCATGGCCCTAGGAAAGCTGATGACACCCTGCTGTGGACAGTCCTTCTCAGACCCCTACGCGCTGACCTGCCAGGACCCAGCGCAGGGGAAGAGCAGGCAGCCAGGCAGTCCCTGCAGGGAGGAGCTCCTCTGGGAGGCTGGATGGACTCGGGAGGTGGGGCCCAGGTCAGCACAGAGCTGGAGGACGCCTGCAGCCCGGTGGGCCTGAATAGCCAGTGCCCTTACCCCTCGCACATATGTTCAGAGCCAAACTCTGAACATAAGCCAAGTAAAACCTCAGCAGTTGAGCCAGGTGCAAGTGGAATTGTGGTGATGACGTGGGGTGGAGCCACACACAGGGGTCCCTGGGAGAGGTCACCTGGCCTCAGAGATCCAGACACAGGCATCCAGGTCTCTGAGTGTGAGCTCCTGAAGATGCCGCCTGCTCTGGGAGGACTTGGTGCCATCCAGGCCCAGGAGCTGCTGCAGCAGGCAGTGAAAGAAAGGCAGGTTCCGCCTTCACTCCCCAGGAGCTGCAGGTGACAAAAAGCAAGTGCTCCTGGAACATGTCAGCTGCAGGTGGCCCCAAGGCAGCCCACCTGGGTGTGAGCACTTTCTTACTCAGAGCCCAGCACATGTGATGACTTAGAGACAAGGGCCATCTCCAGGATCATGTTTTATTTCAAGCGAGGGCTCAAATGCTGATGTCCTGCTCTGCACTAGACTTTAAGGGGACTGTCAGAATGTCGGCTTCGGGCCTGACCGCTGTCCGGTCGGTGTGGGCACTGGCAGTGTTAAGTCAGTGGTGGGCGTTGGTGGTGTGGACGCCGGCAGGTGGGCGTTGGCAGGTGAGGAGGGCTGGTGGTGAGGGTGCTGGCAGGTGAGGGTCCTGGCAGTGTGAGTCAGTGATGGGTGCTGGCGGTGGGTGCTGGTCTGCACTGGCCCCCACACTCTCCTTCTCTTTCAGAAACTGGCCTACGCCATCGCGCCCGAGAAGGACCGCGAGCTGGTGGACAGAGGGGAGGTGCGCCAGTTCACGGTGAGGTCGCGGTCCCCGCTGGGCCTCTCTCAGGGGAATTCAGAATGATCCCAAGCTCGGTGTACTTAGCCCCCCAGAGGGCTCTGAGGCTGGTGTAGACGAGGCTGGTGTAGATGGTATTCATTTACTCAGCCAGCATGCACTCTATGAGGACAGGCCGCCAGCGGTGGCAGGTGACAATGGAGACGTGCACCTGGGACGGGGGGTGCATGACGCGGGGGCCCTGGGAGGTGCGTCTGCATGCACACCTGAGGAAAGCGTGGTTCTTGCAAAGACCTGGGCATGTCCCAGACCATGGGAGCAGCGCCCTGTGGGGCTGGCTGAGCCAGCTGAAGGACCAGCAAGGGACCCGCCCGCCTCATGGGGGCACGAGGGACAGTGGAGGGGAGGCTTGGGCCTGACCATGGGGAGCCACAGGGAGCCCTGAAGGGGCTGGGAGAGGTCTGGGAGCCTGGGGTGGGCTTCACGTGAGAGGATGGTCACGCCAGGTGTTTCCTGCACCCTGGGAGCCATCCAGGTGTGTGCGCACACGTTCATGGCATGCCGTGGAGCAGGTGCATTCCCGGGGCACAGAGTAAACACTTGATGTGTTTTTACTCCCACAACCCTAAGAGGCAGCCCACCACTCTCTCTACACAAGGGTCCCTGAGACCCAGAGAGGCCCCGGAATGTGCCCGAGATCACAGAGCTGGCCAGCAGGAGAGGAGCCTGGGCTGTGCCCTGGGCCTGTGGCAGTGTCCTCCTCCCCACAGCGGCCTCAGCTCCGACCTGATTCCAGACACTAAAGTCAGCCTGATGCTGACAGCAGAGTCCAATGCACAGCAAAGGGGAGGAAGGTCGTAGTGTGGAGGGCACTGCGGCCCCACCTCGGACCTGCCTCTTCCCTCTGGCCACCTCTCTGCACCTCATCCTCGTAAACAGTTCTCCCAGCAGGGGTCTCATGAGCTTACACCTGAGGAGCCCAGCATGGACCTGCCTGAGGAGCCCAGCATGGGGCAAGAGCAAGGATGCAGGCAGAGGGAGGGGGCACCGTGTGCCTGGGAGGTGGGGGGTGATGTCAGGCAGAACAAGACGCTGAGCAGGGAACAGGCCAGGAGGCAGTGGGGAGAAGCCGCCTCTAGGCACACATCTGCCCAGCTTGTTCCTCCTCCCAGCAAGTCAGGTTCTGGTGTGGGCTCTGCCTCCCTCTCTTGGCACCCTTTCCTCTGTCCTCTCAGTGACTTGCCTGCTCCAAACACAGGAGGAGTGTCCAGGCATCCCACGCCATCCGTCCAGGGGATGCCAGCCCCTCTCCACTGGCCTCCGGTCCAGCTCCACCAGAGCCTCTCTCCGCTGAGAGTCCTACACCTCGGGGTCTTACACTTTGTATAGGATCTTGCTAGTCTTCTCAGATATCCAAATTAGAATTCATGTGGGATTCTTGCTGTGCGTCCTGTCGCATTAATCTCAGCTACTGTTTTTGTCATTTCTTCCTCTGCTTTTCTTGGATCTACTCTGTTGTAGTTTTGCTAACTTTTTAATTTGGACTTTAGATTATTAATTTTCATCCTTTGTTCTTTTCTAATGTAAGCACTCAAGGCTATGAATTTCCCTCAAAATACTCCATGTGCTGCATTCCACATTTTTTTTACATAGCATTTTTCTTTATATTTTAGTTCTAAATATATTTTAATTTCCATCGTGACTTTGTCAACTCATAACTTGCTTAAAAGTCTGTTTTTAAATTGCCAAATATATGGGGATGTTTTACTCATCTTTTTGTTTTTAATTTCCAAATTAATTTCATTGTTCTCAAACACATATGATACCTATTATTTAAGATGTATTGGTCGGGCATGGTGGTTTACACCTGTAATTCCAGCACTTTGGGAGGCCTAGGCGAGCGGATCACGAGGTCAGGAAATCGAGACCATCCTGGCTGACACCCTGAAACCCCGTCTCTACTAAAAATACAAAAAAAAAAAAAAAAAAACTAGCCGCGAGGTGGCAAGCACCTGTAGTCCCAGCTACTTGGGAGGCTGAGGCAGGAGAATGGCGGGAACCCGGGAGGTGGAGCTTGCAGTGAGCTGAGATCACGCCACTGCACTCCAGCCTGGGCGACAGAGCAAGACTCCGTCTCAAAAAAAATAAACAAACAAACAAATAAATAAAATGTATTGAGACTTCTTTAGGGCCTTGCACCTAATCAACTTTGATAAACGTTGCACATCTTTTAGACTAATGTGCTATTCTCTAATTGTCAATACACAGTTCTGCTTCTGTCCATTTGAGTAGGCTTGTATATCGTGTTACCCACGTTGTCTACACTTTCTCAATTTTAGGGGTGCTTGACCATGAGTAATTGAGAGATGCCTGTGGCATATTCTTCCTCGATAGTATATTTGTCTGCTGTTCCCCTCAGTTCTATCCGGTTTTGCTCTCTGTAGTCTGAGGCTGTTTTCTGAGGTTGATCCGTGTCTGGAATGACCATCTCTTCCTGCTGACATGAAGGCATCTTCACCCCCTAATGATGCTTTTGGTCTTAAAGTCTGATTGTCTGGGATGAATACAGTTGCACCAGGTGTCTTTTGAGTTTGTCTGAGATATCTTTTGCAATCTGTTAACTTTCACCTTTGCAGTGATCTTAAGATTTAAGTGTCTTTTGCAAACCCAGCATACACCTAGAATCTTTTACTCTCACAATTGGGCAGGTTAATCCATTTACATTTGTTGTGATTATTGATATATTTGAATTTGATTCTACTATCTTTCTAGTCTATTTGTCCCATTTTTAGTGTTTATTTTTCTCCCTTATTGCCTTTTTATAGATTGATTTTTCTTTGTTGGTTCACTCATTTTTATTATTCCATTTATTTCTCTCTACTTGCTTAGAACTTATATACTTTATCCTTTTTTTTTTTTTTTTTGAGATGGAGTCACCCAGGCTGGAGTGCAGTGGTGTGATCTCTGCTCACTGCAACCTCCACCTCCCGGGTTCAAGTGATTTTCCTGCCTCGGCCTCTCAATGGCTGGGATTACAGGCGCCCACCACCACACCTGGATAATTTTTGTGTTTTTAGTAGAGACAGGGTTTGACCATGTTGGCCAGACTGGTCTCGAACTCCTGACCTCAAGTGATCTGCCCACCTCTGCCTCCCAGAATGCTGGGTTTATAGCCGTGAGCCACTGTGCCTGGCCTTATTCTATTCTTTTAATAGCTACTCTTGAGGTTGTACCATACATATTTCACTTAAACTCTACAGTTAAACCGTATTTTAACCCCATCTTACGAGGACTTAAATCTTCCTCCTACTGATGAATATGCCATGATTGCTGAGATCTATTTCTGTCTTTTTAACCCACTGTTATTAGACACCGTTACTGTTCTCGTTGCTGTTATTATTTTGTATGGACTCATCCTGTTCCTTGGACTAATGTGCATGCTTGGTGTTTATTGGTTTCCATACTTTTGTTATAGACTTCTTTTCTTCTAGGACCATTTTCTTGCTTTTCAAAAAGCATCCTTCGGACATTCCTTTGAGGAGGTCTCTTGCTAACCTCCCTCACTATTGGTGTCTGGGAACATCTTTATGCTGCTCTCATTCATGAAAGCACTGTCGTGGGCTCAGGGGTCCAGGCTGACGGTGACTCTCTCTGCGTTTTGGCGGCAGCAGTGTTCCATGGCTGTGCTGAGATGTGTGGACCTGTGAGCCTGCCCTGTGGTGGGCTCTGTCCTCACCCCTGCACACGGCCAAGTTTCCTGTAATTTCCGTGTTGTGGGTTCACTGTGGAGTGTTGGGACCTGGGTTTCTTTTTATTTATCCTCTCTGGATATGTTGTGTAGCCAGATCTGCAGATTCACAAATCTTGTCATTCTGTTAATTTTGCAGCCACACGTTGAAAGATTGCCTTCTGCTTTTCTGTGTTTTCCGTTATGAGGCTCTGGTGTATCCACTTTGCCCTGGGTCCTCCAGGTCTCTTACCTCACTTAGATTTTGTTTTCATTCGAATCTTAGGTGCACAGTTGAGTAGCACACTCTTATCATTAATCCACGTGTGGCCATTTTTAAATTATCAATTTGTCTACATAACAAACAGACACTTGTGAGCCCACAGCAGGAAAAGTAGACACTGTGGAAACAGCCTGCCCTGCACCCATCTTTCTCTGAGTCTAGCTTGATCTTTCCCTTGCCATTCTTACAATTTCATTTGTTACATCTCTAGATATTCCTAGGTTCCTAAAAAGTGTATTATTTGGCTTCAGCATTTGGTGTAGCCCTAACCAAGCCCTACTGAAGCAAGACCCTGTGTACACGCCATGCAAATCCCCGAGAATCGTGATTGTTCCTGGCTGGGGGAGCAGGCACTGTGCCCAGCCCTGTGTGGGCATCAGAGGTGGTTCCCTCTGGTCCTGTCCGCAGTTCTCTCCCCAGCCTCCTCATACACAGCGGGTGTGCTCAACTGAACCCTCAGCGAGGGTCCTGGGCCATCGTCCCGGCTCTTCTCTCTGTGTGGCCACCTCCTCTCTGGTGCTCTGGCCTGCAAACTGCAGCCACCTCCATTTCCCTCGCTCTCCTTTCCAGCCTCTCAACCCAGGGAGTGCACCATGCTGCACCCTCGCTGTGCTGCAATCTGGAAACTCCCTCGAGGCAGCGAGCAGGCTGGCAGTGGGGGCTCCTTGTTGATGTCCCTCAGGGACCACTGACCCTTATGGTCTGGTGTCCACAGTCTGGAAGGCCATTGGTGTATGTGTTTTGTTTATTTGGGGGTTGTTCGGTCCCTGTTATTCTGTCTAGGTCAGAAATGTCTGTGTCCATAGCTACGCTTCGCCTGCTGTGACTGGTCTCTGACCGTCCGTCACGTAAACAAACCGTAGCTCAGCTATGGATGCTCCGCTTCCCACTGCCCTGCCCGGTTCAGCATCCCGGCCATTCTCTTTCCTACTTCATCTCTGGAAGCCGCGTGTGCTCTGCTGTTTCTTGTGAAATTCTCATCACTGTGATGTGCGTGTGTCACTTTTTCGAGGGTCCCCTGTGTGGCCGTCCTGTAATCTGTTGCAACAGCTCCGGTCCTTTGGGATCAAACTGAGGTCTGGTTTCTGGGGACTCACGTAGAGTGGGCTGCTGTCTTCTGTTTCTAGTCTTTATTTTACATTTATGGCTTGATCTTAATCTGTGGGAATCTGGGAGCCCCCAAGCACACCTCCCTCCAGAGGGGGACCTTCTGCTTCTGTCAGAGGGCAGGACAGAGAACTGCTTCACCCCAGGGCTACGGGGCTCACAGCCGGAGTCCCAAGCATGGCTCCTTCATCGCTGGCCTGAAGTGAGGCTGCCACCCAGAACCTCTGCTCTAGGGCTCCGGCCGCTGGGCCACCCCTGGCTGTGGGTCCCGGCCAGGCTCCCTGCCCCAGCTTTCTTCACTGAGCCCCGAGCTGCACCTGGATGCTGCCTGTGCTGGCGTCAACTGTGGCTGCTCCAGTCCCCTGGTAGACCCCTGGCCTGCAGTGTGATCCCACCCAGGCTGAGGAGGTCCCTGCAGGCTTTCGGTGGAGGGGCCGGAGGAACCTGTGATGTGGCCAGTGGTAGCTTCAGTGGCTTTCCATGGCTGGCAAAGTTTTGTCAGAAGCAGCCCTGCGTGCCCCTGTTTGGAAATGTTTATGAAGCACACTTCTTGCCATTGAGTGCTATCGGGGGGCTTGTGCTCACAAACAGGCTGAACTAACGGCTGCATAATAGCAGGCAGTGACATTTGCTGGCGGTCTAAATAACTGCTCTTGTCTATGTCATCAGTCCCTCAGCAGTCAGGACACCCTGCTCCTGCGCCCGCCTGGGTCGCAGAGAGCAAGACGGAGCTGCAGAGGTAGCGTGTCACTTGGACGGAGCATCTGAGGCCCCCAGGAAGGTGGGGCGACCTGGGGGAGAGGTGACATCACCACGTCACACCCAAGTCACTGGGGTACAATCTGGAACTAGCCTCGGATTGAGGGTGCCCGGCATCTCTCAGGCTCAGCAGCTGATCAATATGCCCCAGAGGCCACCATGGCCACCACGGCAACCACAGTCTCACAGCTTTTTAAAAAATCAAGTAATAATTGATTTATAGAAGTTTGAGTGAGGCATCGGGTCCCTGGCACCCATCAGGGGCGTGTTGGTCCAGGCCCCCGACGAGCCTCCCCGTCTCCCAGGGCACGTGGCCGGGAGGCTGCAGGCTGCTCACTGCCTTCAGCTGCTCTTAGCCACAAGACGGGGCATCGCCCCAGGGCTGCCCTTCTCCCAGCAGCCACACTCTCCATTTCGGAATAAACCTGTTTTCTTTCCAGCTCCGCCACTGGCTCAAGGTGTAGAGGGAGCAGAGACGAAGACCCGGGAAGTCATCCCGCAGTGGGAGAGACACGAACAAACCAAGGAAATCTGAGTTTTAAGAGAAAGGAGGGCAACTTCTACTCTTCAACCTCTACTGAAAACACACAACCAAGCAGAAGACGCTTCTGACTGTTTACACCTTTCCGCGCCGGGAGCACCTCGCGTGTCTTGTGTTGCTGTAATAAAGACGTAGATCCGTGCAGTGAGGTCCACCCCATTCCTGTCCCTGCAGGGCAGAAAAATGTCTAACTTCATGCCGTCTGTGTGAGGCTGGCTCCCTCCCTCCCTCTCTGCTCCCGGCTCCCGGCTCCGAGGCTGCCCCAGGGGCACTGTGTTCTCAGGCGGGGATCACGATCCTTGTAGACGCACCTGTGCTGAGAATCCGAGAATCCCTGTGCTCACAGTAGCTTCCTAGACCATTTACTTTGCCCACATTAAAAAGCCAAGTGTTCCGCTTGGTTTAGCTGTGCAGAAGGTGAAATGGAGGAAACCACGGATTCACACCAAGTCCTTTCCTGACGCGTGGCTCCCAGCAGAGGCTGGAAACTGAGCGTTCAGTTGATACGTCGCAGTCTGTTCAGAGGCATTGGAGGACAGGGGTCCTGGTACGTCTCACCAGGAAATTCTGTTTATGTTCTTGTAGCAGAGAGAAATAAAACTCCTTGAAACCAGCTCAGGCTACTTCCACTCGGGCAGCCTGTGGGTCCTTTCGGTGTAGGGAAAGCCCTGGCAGGAGCATGTCCTATTCCCGGACGCATGCAGGACCCCACAGGAGTGTGTCCTATTCCCAGATGCATGCAGGGCCCCCGCAGGAGCATGTACTACCCCCGGATGCATGCAGGGCCCCACAGCTGTGTGTCCTATTCCCGGATGCATGCAGGGCCCCACAGGAGCGTGTCCTATTCCCGGACACATGCAGGACCCCACAGGAGCATGTCCTACCCCCAGATGCATGCAGGGCCCCACAGCTGTGTGTCCTATCCCCAGATGCATGCAGGGCCCCACAGGAGTGTGTCCTATTCCCGGACGCATGCAGGACCCCACAGGAGAGTGTCCTATCCCCGGACGCATGCAGGGCCCCACAGGAACGTGTACTACCCCAGGACGCATGCAGGACCCCACAGAAGAGTGTCCTATCCCCGGACGCATGCAGGGCCCCACAGGAGCTTATACTACCCCAGGATGCATGCAGAGCCCCCATGCAGGCAGCCTGCAGACCACACTCTGCCTGGCCTTGAGCCATGACCTCCCGGAAGAGACCCCACTGGAATTTTATTTCTCTCAGGTGCATGTCACATCAGTAACAACAGTTTCTATGTTTGGGAATGGCTTTTTAAAATCATATTTACCTGTGAATCAAAACAAATTCAAGAATGCAGTATCTGCAAACCTGCCTGCTGATACTGCAGTTTTTGTTTACAAGAATAATTAGCAATACTGAGTGAAGGATGTTGGCCAAAAGCTGCTTTCCACGGCACGCTGCCCTCTGCCACTGACAGGAAGGTGGATGCCATAGTTTGAATTCGTGCCTCGAGTCGGTGGGCCTGCCTGCGTGTTGCCCAAGGGCAGGGTCCGTGCAGGGCCAGTCATGGCTGTTCTCTGCAAGTGGACGTGGGCTCCAGGGGCTGGAGTGTGATGCTCAGTGGGAGCCGTCAGCCTGTGAAGTGCCAGGCGGCTGCATTTAGCACAGAGGACGGCTTCCCCATCGCCTTCTGGGGAGGGACACAGACGGCGGCTTCCCCATCGCCTTCTGGCCGCTGCAGTCAGCACAGAGAGCGGCTTCCCCATCGCCTCCTGGGGAGGGGCTCCGTGTAGCGACCCAGGTGTTGTCCGTGTCTGTCGACCTCTCTCTAGTCAGCATCGTGTGGGTCCCTAAGCACAATAAAAGACGTCCACAATGGAAAAACTGCCTCAGCCTCCTTGCCTCGTTTCCTCTGGGCGCCATCCATTTACACGGGCCGAGCTCACCTGCTCACACCCTGAGGTCAGCTTCCGCCCCACCCCAGCCCACCCAAGCAAGCCCTTCCTCACCTGATGCCTCTTGCCCATCTCTCCTTCTGGCCTCCCCTAAAGCCTAGATGTTAGAGGTAACACATCCACTACGCTCCCACGCAGGTGTGCTGGCTGTGACCTGCCCCCCGCCCCAGGCTCCCACACAGGTGTGCTGGGTGTGATCTGCCCCCCTCCCCGGGCTCCCATGCAGGTGTGCTGGGTGTGACCTGTTTCCCCTTCCCTGGGCTCCCATACAGTGTTGGGTGCAGTGGTGAACCTCACCCAGGTCCGCATTCCTGCAGGGTCCCCTGTGGCAGGTCATGGCACCTGCTTTATGTTGTGCCCACTTGCTCAGGCTGGACCTCCGTGCCATCCTGCACCACTCTCCCCCAGCCCCTCACCTGCCTGTCAACATTCTTGTGGGCTCCCCACGTGTCCAGACTCCAACCATACTGCCTGGCCACTGCCGCTGCCCACCCCAAGAGCCCCTTCCAAGCCCCGTCCCAGATCTTAGTGGCTCCTGGCCCTCAGTCCAAGTGTCTTTCCTTGCTCTGTGGCCTAAAGGATTCTTCTAGATACCAACAGATCAGGCCACATCCCAAGGAAACCCCAGAGTTATCCTGGTGCTTGGAGTAAATGCCAGTGCCCTCAGCATGACCTGTGATAGGATGGCAGCCACCCCCTCCAGGCAGTGACCTGTGATAAGACGTGCCACTCCTGCCAGCCCCACCTGCAGCCCTGCCCCGAGCTGCCTGAGGGCACACCCCACACCGAGGGCTCTGTGCCCGGCAGCACATGGGGCACTGCTACTGCTGCATTGTAGCAGGTGCCACACGCACGTGGCTGCATGTGGACAGGAAGGACGCTCGCGCCTTTCAGGTGGGTGTGTGAACTCTGTGGCAGGACAAGTGCTGTGCTGCCTACGAGGGCTGAACCTGCCTGCAGCCTTACTGGTGCTCCCCACCCTCCCCGTTGTCACATATGATGCCCCTTACCGTCGGGGCGGCTACACCCCCCTGCTGCAGGTGCCTCCCTAACAGCTCACACCTGGAGCCCCCAGGTGTGATCCCTGCTGACCACTCAGGTCTGGGGTCCAGGTAGATACTATGTGGGTGGCCATAAGTCACTACGTGGGCTGAGACTTGAAGGACTCTGACAGCATCATGGGCAACTGTATTAAGCCCCAGCAATTGGAGAGGTGGGCTCCGGGGCTGGGTGGGTCTCCTCTGCCTGTGGTCCCAGCAGCTCAGCAGCAGGGGCCGGCCCAGATGGCCATTGGTCACAGAGACAGCTGGGCTTTGCTGAGTGGGTCATGGTCCAGCCTAGGCCCATGCCACTGAAGCCTTTCTCAGAGGTGTGGGGTCTGCAGGGACTGGTCACAGGTGGACCCAGGATCAGGGCACCAGGGGAAGAACCAGCTGAGGACCTCCCCCAGTCCCAAAACAAAGGCACAGCAGTCCCCGAGCAGGGAGGAGTGAGGACCCGCATGTGGGATCCTGCCTCTCTGGCGTGTGAGCTGTGGATGGCATCCGGTGCCAGCCCCATGCCCGCTGGCTGCTGGCAAGCTTGCAGGCTCTGCAGGCAACCAGAATGACATACTGCAGGTGCACACGGGGTCCTCGCGCTGAGTGATTTACTCAGGGAGTGGCTGAGGGAGCAGGTGAGGGAGGGGCACTTACACCCTGAATGTAGAAAGAACTCCACAAGTCCGTAAGGAAGAGGCAGACACTCCATCAGAAAAGTGGACAGAAACCTTGAATGACTGCCAGCAAGGGAAAATGCCCACGTGGCCAACAAACCTATGAAAAGAGGCCCAACCTCACTGGTTGTCCTGGAAATGCAGTCAGCCGCCACATGACGCGGCAGCACAATCACAGCAGCCAGGCTTTGGGAAGTCTGAGCCCCCGTGTGGCTGCGTGTGGACAGGAAGGACACTCGCACCTTTCAGATGGGTGAGTGAACTCCGTGGCAGGAGAACCACGAGGGCTGAACCTGCCTGCAGTCTTACTGCTGCTCCCCACCCTCCCTGTTGTCACATAGGGTGCCCCTTACCCTCGGGGGTGGCCACGCCCCCCTGCTGCAGGTGCCATGCCAACAGCTCACACCTGGAGCCCCCAGGGCCTGCCTTGGGCAGCTGGGCCCTCGTTCAGGGGCTCCTGGAATTGAAGCCTGTGCCAGGGTGGCCCAGGGCCAGACCCTGACCACCTTGAGGTCAAAGCCCCCATCCAGACCTGCAGTCTGATGTATGTCCAGAGTCCCCGTCAGGACCACTGGACCCCAACTGAAACCACGTCTGCTCCGGCCTCTCCCTTCCCTTGGCCTGTTTCCCGCTCTCTCCTTCTGGTTTTCTCCTGCGAGTCCCAGTGAGTCAGGAGTACAACAATCTCCACTCAAGAGTCTGCAGGATTCCAACCTAAGGGAGACAATCACAAGCCCCACAGTTCTCTCTGCATGCCTGACAGAGACACATGGAGAGGCATGTGCAGTGGCCATAAAAGCCGAGACTAGGAACAGCAGGAAGGGCCAGCACTGAGTGGGCGCTCATGGCAGGAAGGGTCCGTGAGCTGCAGCACTGGCTAGTGGGGTGGTGGGAAAAGCTGAATTGTATCCCCTGAGAAGGCTGAAGTCCTGACTTCTTATGTGAAAATAAGGTCGTTGCAGATGCAATTAGACAAGACGAGGTCATATCTGAGTAGGGTGGGCCCTAAATCCAATATGACAGGGACCCTATAAGAGGAGAGGAGAGACACTGAGACCCTAAATCCAACACAACTGGTATCCTTGGAAGGGGAGGACAGACAGTGAAACAGAGACCAGGACAGGACCGCCGTGTGACAACGGAGGCAGACATCAAGAGATGCGCCTGCAAACCAAGGCTCACTGAGGGCTGCCAGCCGTCACCAGGGGCCGAAGACACACACACAGAACAGATGCTTCCCCAGAGCCTCAACAGGAACCAACACTGCCAACACCGTGATTTCAAACTTCTGGCCTCCAGAGCTGTGAGATGACAAACTTCTGCTGTTTCAAGCACCCAGTTTGTGGTGGACGTTCCCAGGGCACTAGAGAAAGCACGTCCATCCTGCCTGGGCGTTTGGGTATCTGAGACACTACCAGCCCTTAGGACGCCTTCCCAGGCTTCACTCTCCTTCCTATCCTGTACTTCCTCTTGTTCCCTCATCTGGAACTACCTTCTTTTTGTTCTCACCATGAACTTTCCAACCTTAACCCACTAGCTCCTATGCCATGTCAGCTTCCCCTAGACATCACCACTGGAAGTCTGCTCCCACTCCAGCTTCCGGGTTCTGGCCCTTGGCCAGTGTTCCTTGAAACCCCCATTCTCCCCAGGTCTTCTCCAGCAGGTGTCATATTGAAGGCAGATGACTCATTGTCTCTTTTCCCAGCAGGAACTGTGTTAGTCTCACTCACTTCAGCCAGTGTTTTGAACAGGCCCGGTACATGGAAGACAGTGGCATTTAATATATGTTTACAGATGGATGAATGAATGGGTGGGTGAAGGGGCAGGTGGATGGATAGACGGGTGGATAGATAAGGGATGAATGGATAGATGGAAGGCTGGATGGATGAAAGGAGAGAGAGAAAAGGGTGGGAGAGAGAAAGGGATAAGCAGATTGATGAATGCACAGGTGGGTTAATGGATGAGTGGTGGATGGTTGGATGAATAAATGGATGAGTCGATAGTTGGATGGATGGATGGGTAAATTAATGGATGTATGGATGCTGAGGGAGCAGGTGAGGGAGGGGCACTTGGATATATGGATGGACAAAAGAAAGAAGAAAGGGAGAAAGGGAGGGAGTAGATGGCTGGGTGGATGGATGGTTGATTACAGTTGGGTGGATGGATAAATGGATAGTTGGATGGATGGGCAGGCAGATGATGGCTAGATGAATAGATGGATGGATGGGTGGACAGATGAATGGGTAGGTGAATGGATGGATGAGCGGATGGGTTGATGATGGATGGATGGATAGACAGATGGGTGGGTGGGTATGTGATGGATGGATGAATGAATAGGTGGTGTGTGGGTGGATGGGTTGATGCGGGGGGTGAGTAGGTTATGGATGGATGGATAGATGGATGAATGGATGGATGGACCAGTGGATTTGTGGATGGATGGATGGATGGATGGATGGATGGATGGATGGTTGGATGGATGGATGGGTAGATGGGTGAATGGATGTGTGGGCAGGTTATGGATGGATGGAAGGATGGATGGATAGATGGAGGTGTGGATGGATGGATGCATGGATGCATGGGTGGATGGATAGATGGATGCATGGATGGATGGATGGATGGATGGATGGATGGATGGATGGATGGATGGATGGATGGGTAGATGGGTGAATGGATGTGTGGGTAGGTTATAGATGGATGGATGGATGGATAGATAGATGAATGGATGAGCGGATGGATAGATGGATGCTTGGGTGGATGGATAGATGGAGGTGTGGATGGATGGACGGATGGATGGATGGATAGATGGATGCTTGGGTGGATGGATAGATGGAGGTGTGGATGGATGGATGGATGGATGCATGGATGGACAGACAGATGGATGATGGATGGAGGAATGGATGAGTGGATGGGTGGGTGGAGGGATAGATAGATTTGCAGATGGATGGGTGGAAGGTCCTGGATGACATGTACAAATCTACCATTCTGGTCCAATCTCAAATTCCCCTACAGGGCTGGCTGTGTGGATGCCGCATTTAGCACTTGTTCTCCAAGGAGGGTTGAGCTCTTTAGTACAAATGAAATATGTTAACTTCAAAATGTCTGAAGAAGTCTTTTCTTCTCACACTAAGTCCGTGCAGAACCCAAGTTCCCCGGGAGGGATGAGCCCTCCAGAGCCCGCTTTGGTGCTGGACGGGAGGCCCACCCTCCACACCCTGCACT